TGACGTAGACTCAGTGACAATTAACTTTGATTGTGGCATTACCCATCACCTACAGCGAGTAAACGTCAAGTTTCAAGTTATGGATAACGCATTTGTGTATCGAGAGCAATTCCCGATATCGATGTCCTACGCGGTTACAATTCACAAATGCCAGGGCCTCAGCTTAAATAGCGTAATAATTGATATTGGGGAGTCCATATTTACATGTGGCCAATCATATGTTGCCTTGTCACGAGTGACTTCATTAGAAGGGCTTCATCTTATTAACTTTAACCCAAGAGATGTGAAGCCTCAGAAATCCGCCATTCTCGAATACAACAGACTAAGGCAGAAGTACAGGTCTGACCTTCCACTTTACAACACAAGTTGTGACTCCTCTTCGGCTCCTTATGTGAGAGACAGGAAGTGGTGCCAGACCAAAAATGTCGAAAAAGTGCAGGATGAGAGTACAAAACCGGTACCCTCTGCAAAGACTACCGGAAGATCGAGAGTTCAGTCAACTTTAGCATTAAGAGGGTTTGAGAACAATGATCGTGTGTCTTGTTATGCGAATGTTGCAGTTCAGATACTGTATTCTGTTCCGTACATCAGAGAGATAATAAAGAACTCTGAACTAATTTGTCCTGAGTTAAAACAACATCTTCATGATTACGAAGTTTCTCCCTCGGAGGTTGTTTTAGATACAGTGGTTATAAGAAATCTCCCTAACAACAATACATATACCCTGACAGAGCAGCAAGACTGTGCTTTGTTCTTGCTGGACTTATTGGAGACAAACAAGGGCATTATAGAAGCCATCTCATACAGCACGGTGAAAACCACAAAATGCCAGCACTGTCATTACACATTCACAGGGCAAGAAGAGACAGACAATATAATCAGAATCCCCGTGGTGGCTGGTAAGGTAACGCTAAAAAATCTTTTAAGCCTTACGATAAACAACTGGGAGCCCTTGTTAGATTATGTGTGCAGTAATGATGAATGCGGCCAACGAGGATCGAGCCTGGGCAAGGTACACGTTACAAAGTCAAACCGCTGTGTTATCTTACAATTTTTAATCTTTGACAACAACCTACAAAAGATAACCGCAACAAACATAGTAGGAGTCCCAAGTGCTCAAGTGACTATAGGTAATAAAACATATAGACCTACAGCAGCAATTTTTCATCACGGAGATGCAATATCACGAGGGCATTACACTTGTACCATAAAGACATCTTCAGGTTGGACAACAGCCAATGATGAACAAATATCAAATCAAAGATGGCCCATTGGTTCAAAGAATTTGTACATGCTGTTATTAACAGAACAGTAGAAGCAGCAGTTATTACTTTGTTACAACAGTAAAAGATATCGAACATATTCTACGAGTCGTGGGTTGATGACCACTACCTAACTAGACCAGACGAACTAGAAGATATGAACTTATACGACTTTGTGAGATGGTACGATATAGCTGCTCAACCACCTAAAGGCGACCGTGAAGTGCATAAGTTGAATTCAGGCAAATTCCTCACTAAAAGAGTCAGACCATGCTTACTGAATCACTATAAGTACAGCCCCACTCAGATGACCGTTGAGGACATCCGTCTAATTGAAAGCAAGAAAATACATCTTAATGGAAAAACTGCTTGTGAAAACCTTTCTCTATTAGGAGATTACTTGTCTGCTTTACCCAACAATTCTGTGTGTCTTTGTTCAACTGGTTACCAATGCTCCATAATAAATGATGAAATGGTCAATAGAATAAGTGGTCCTGTCGTTAACTTGGTTGCAAAAGACTCAGTTGACTGTCTACCTCGTCAACAAAACAAAGTTAAAAAGATACTGTCCTCTTACAACTCTGACTGCAGCAGAACGGCTGGTATGGAGAAAATTATTCCTATTAAGGTTGGTGCTAAAGTTATGTTGCTTAGAAACATTGACGTCACTGTGGGGCTAGTTAACTCCGCCATTGGAACAGTAACGGGGTTGAGGTTTAATACAGACAATTCTGATGACGTAGACTCAGTGACAATTAACTTTGATTGTGGCATTACCCATCACCTACAGCGAGTAAACGTCAAGTTTCAAGTTATGGATAACGCATTTGTGTATCGAGAGCAATTCCCGATATCGATGTCCTACGCGGTTACAATTCACAAATGCCAGGGCCTCAGCTTAAATAGCGTAATAATTGATATTGGGGAGTCCATATTTACATGTGGCCAATCATATGTTGCCTTGTCACGAGTGACTTCATTAGAAGGGCTTCATCTTATTAACTTTAACCCAAGAGATGTGAAGCCTCAGAAATCCGCCATTCTCGAATACAACAGACTAAGGCAGAAGTACAGGTCTGACCTTCCACTTTACAACACAAGTTGTGACTTCTCTTCGGCTCCTTATGTGAGAGACAGGAAGTGGTGCCAGACCAAAAATGTCAAAAAAGTGCAGGATGAGAGTACAAAACCGGTACCCTCTGCAAAGACTACCGGAAGATCGAGAGTTCAGTCAACTTTAGCATTAAAATTTATTTTTTTTTTCAGAGAAAAGAGTATTTTTATTTGAACGGTTAATTTTCTACAAAAATAAATAAAATCTAACAAAAAACCACTAAGTGGTAACACTTTCCCCGCCAAGTCAGCAATCCAAAAAAGATAATAAATCATTACTTTTTCCGCCAAGAAAAACAATGTAATGTATGTAAGTTTGGCAACTTGGCGGCAGACTTTTGCTTGGTTTTTTTTCATTTAAGTTACGTTCGTGGATAATTTCACAAATCAACTTCTCTAATTAATTAGTCCAACTAAGTATAATAATTTCGAGGTAATCAGTAAATATAAAACCATCACTATTATGATTTTATGAAATGTGGCACAAATAAGGTCAAGTTTTGTAAAATAAGCTCTCACCTAGCAATGTACTAATGGGAGAGATACTTGCTCAATGAAACTAGTTTTATGGTATTTTTAAAGTGATCGAGCAAAAGTCTGCCGGCAAGTTGCCAAACTTACATACATTACATTGTTTTTCTTGGCGGAAAAAGTAATGATTTATTATCTTTTTTGGATTGCTGACTTGGCGGGGAAAGTGTTACCACTTAGTGGTTTTTTGTTAGATTTACTTATTTAATACGCAAGCAGGTTTTTTGTGACAATTACAACTCCAAAGCTACTGAACTGATTGACATGTTTTTGGTGTCATTGGAAAAAGCGTAAAGTGAAGTTGTGCAGGAAACTTTCTTTTTAGGGAAATAATTAGAGAGTGAGGCCCTGGGGCCCTTTAAAGTTTCGTATTTCTCCATAAGATTAACATGGGAAACAAAAATTGTTATGAAACTCCAGCTGTTGTCAGAAATTTAAAAGTGGGAAGAAGAACATAGTATTGTAACGTAATTGTAAACAGTCAATAAGTTTGCTAATTTAACAGTTTGCTACAAAGTACAAACATTTACTGAGTTAGTTGAAATGAAATATTTACTATTTGAATTCGGGTTGGCATAAATATTACAATGGAAAAAAGTGAGAGAGCCTTGATATACAAAAAAGAAATCTGAATGAACACTGTGCTGCATATTTCTTAGTAATCGTTGAAAGAACCGATTTGCAAACTATGGAAACATAGGAAAGTCATAGAACACCACCAACGAGAAGAAATAGAAATGATTTTATTTCCGTTTTTATGGACAAACAAAGGTTGCTTGCTTCTGAGGTGTAAGTTGTGAACCCAATACATTGATTGGATTCCGAAGAGCTCTTGTACATCTTTAAGATGCAGAAATTCTAAAGGGGTTAGTGAGTTACCTCATTTCACACCTAGAAGCTAGATGGACCGAAGCTTCTAGGTGTGAAATGAGGTAACTCACTAACCTCTTTCGAATTATGGATAACTTAATGCGGCTATGAGTAAGGCTATTTGTAGAAAACACTGAAAAACAAGTTCAGCTTTTGAAAAATGATATTTACAAGAAATGTTGATTATCTTGATCTGTTATGTGCATCTTAAGTATTTCCATAATCTTTGATTTGACTCTTTTTTTTAAGTCATCAGAAATTATGACTGTTATTTGTTTTAAAACAATAAGACCTGTAATACTTAGAAATTGCTCGAATTCGAGCAACAGGTACACTAGTATAAATTATTGATCCTACAATGCAGGTCCCTCAGATAGATGTCACATAGACTGTACCCTCCATGCAAAAGAATTTGAAACTCATATCTAACTGGTCGAATACACAGAGTGTTTATTGATAGCATTTAGTCCCAAGAGTTTGAAGTTAACAATAAAGGTGTTTCACAGGGCTCTGTATTGGGTCTTTTTCTGTTTTTAAATATATAGCATGAATGATTCACTTAGTCTCTGTTCTTAAGACAATTTTCTTAGTTTAGATTGTATTAGATGATTTGTGCAAATGAATATAACTTATCATTTTGTACTTTTATTTTTCTCGAATGTGATCAAATATATATACGATTTCCTGAGACAAGAATGTATAGCTAAGGTTTATTTAAACCCAAATAAAAACAAACGAAGTGTGTGGCACGAGTGAGGTGTCTTTTGTGACTTTGTTAAAGTAACTTCAAGAAGTTTTAGAAGGTTTGAAATACAATTGGTTTGAAAAAAAAGTTAAGGTGGTTTTAAAAAGGTTTAAAAAAAATTGAAATAGGCTCCCAATAATAATTATTTTTCTGACGTATAATATTTATCATGACTATGATTTTTATCGGCACATAACATACAATGTTTACAGGTAAAGTTAGGTTGGTGAGACAGTTGTTCAGTCGGTACCACCAAAGACTTCGGGCCCAAGCTCGGAACCTGGTATCTGCCGCTTTGTTTTATCAGTACACACACACACTATTGTACTGTCCCGGCTCACACTGTGTTTTGCTGGATACGTTCCACATACAGATCTATAGTCTATGTGGAAGGGCAAATGCAAGGTTGTATCTAGGTGTTTTGTCATTTTTTAAAGTTTTTTTATTCATTTTCTTTTTTATGATTCTTTATTTTTCAGGGCAAGGAAGGGCCTAATATAGAACCCATTTCTGCAAATTTGCACGTAAGTGTTGTGTGATTTTTCAAATATTCAAAATAATTTCTTCTTTGCCTATTTTCAAAAGTGGTTGGTTCTACCACTGATTTTTTTATCTGTGGCTGTAGTCTTTGACTATTAGTTCATACCTTTTATTAACACTACAATATAATATGGAAATCTTAAGTTATCTTAGATTACACAACAATACAAAAACATTTTTTCCTTTTTGTACTTCTATGTCTATTCAAATGTTTTTTAGTCAATTCCAGCCAAGTTAAAATTCATTTTTCATGTAGGATTGCATTGTAAGTCCAATATTTCAGACGTATTTTGCTTACGTTTTCTGGTTGACAAATCTTTTTAGTTTAATGAAGTTTAAGGTTAAGTTAACACCTTCAGTGCAAGGGGCTTCTCGCCCCGCAGTACCGGCGCCATTGGCACGGGGCGGGAAATGTCGTCCTTCACCAGTGCCTTTGCTTCAATGTGAGCTCAGCCATTGCCGGGGAACGTTATACTTGTTGCCAGCCTTATGCAGGCTTTAATTTGGTCTATGTTGGTACTAAACATTCCCGTAAAATCCCGTCTGGCAATGCTTTTGTCCCGTTTTTGGGGATTTTCTCTTATCGAGCCACATTACAAAGACTCTGGTTATTGATCCAGGCAGTGCTGCTACCTTTGGGTGTTTCAGTGAACTACGTCTACTTTCGGGGTAATGCAGAACAATCACCACTGCTCTTTTGTGATTCGTCTTACTGAGATATATCAATGCCAATAGCGACCGCTGATTCAGTTAGCTTGCCGGGGCTCCGCCCGGGCCTCGCCGCAGTTTAGGAGCGCCTGTGTAAAGGTTTTCAGCAGTGAACGTGTTAAAAAAGTAACAGACATTTTGAAAAAATATGCCCAAAGTAAACAACCCTCATGTTTATTATCTGAAAGTAAGCTATTAGGAATTTTTTTCTATAGTCACCTTTTCAATCAAGCCATTTATCAAAACATGGCACAATATTTCCAATTCCTTTGTCTGCTATCTGTAAGTTGAGATTCAATATCAGGGAATCACACACTGCATTGAATTTTCAATTGCGGCATTCATTATAAACTCCGGTGTATACAAAATACAAAAATGCACAATTAATTGTACTAGTGGCAATGGATCGTTGCTTAATTATTTTAGAAACATTTTTATATTGGAATGCCAGTGCTAGCCAGGCCAACAAATCTTTTGCTTTTTAAATAGCCCTAGCACATTTTCCAAAATTTGATCTTTCTTATGCCATTAAATAATTGCTTTGGTAAGTCTACTGTTTACGACAGTCTTTTTTCATTTTTACATTTTAGTTAATATTATAACTAACAGATATTAATTTGTTCCAGGCTAAAGATAAATCTGATGAAAGTTTAAAGGTATGTTTTCTGTATTTCATCGCTTATGTATCAATTTAAATTTGCTTATTCAGCTAAAAATTTACAAAATAATTGCGTTAGCCAAGTCAGAAAAAAATACAAATCATCTTAGGCTAGACTTTCAAAAAATTTACATTCAAATCAGCTTACCGTCTATTTGCAATAGTAAATTAAGAGGGTTCCACCCGCCGGCTGGTTAGCACGTAAACATGATCCTACAAAAAAGATCCTTGTGGCATTATTTATGCGTTTATCGAGTTGAAAAATATGTAAAATATTCACAAAGATCCAAACTATGCCATGGATGAACTGAAACTTCGTAATTGTTTCTTTAAGTATTTACAAAATAATTTTGAAAATCCGTAAATTAGTCTTTTTTACATGTGATTTTAGTTTCTAAATAGGTAATAATAATAATAATTAAACATTAATTTATCCCCATCCATTGCAAGCTCTGATATAATAAGAGCACAAAAAGCAAACAATCATTGGAAACCATTAGTTATAGAGTGTTGAGAGCTTGTACCGTAGAGGCATGTTTAGCCGCCATCTTTAATTGACTGGGTAGAACCCTCTTAAAGTTCAATTGGGATATATTTTGGCTTACAATTTGAGAATTGACCTCATATAGGCGAATAATGTTACATACATAAACAGTAACATATTTTTACCTGTTTCATAAAAATACTTTTTTTTCAGACTCCAAGTGAAGAAGAAAGAGAAAGTGGGGTAAGTATTTTTTTTCCATTATGTCTTCTTTCAAATAATCTTCAAACTACCGTGTAATTTAAAAAGCTGCAAAATATAATTATGTAATGCTATCTACAAAATTTAAAATGTTGATTTATCTACTTGTACTCATTATTGTCCGGTTTTAATGAGCCATTAATAAAATTAAGATTCTGACCTACTGAATATAACAATCTTAAGGCCTGAGCACACAGAGACAGACGGACTCAGTCAGACGGACAGACTAAAATTCGCTCACTGTGTTGTCAAATGTGGCAATGTACACAGGAATCCGTCCGTCAGCTGGATGGAGTCCACATGAGTTCGCGGACAGATTTTTGGAACCCCACTGCGGACTTTTTCTGCTGTGCATGCGCAAAGAGGTTTTTTCCAACGTTGCTTCTCCACACCACTACTAGGTGTGCTATGGTTTATTTACTCAGGGTGTCCAGCCAACCTGGAAACCGGGAATCAAATTTTGATGACCGGGAAAAAATCTGTGAATTTGATAAAGAACAGGGAAATTTGAATTGCAGCCGAAAAATCTGCCCAAAATCACCAATTTTTGTCGTTTTGGATAGTTAAAAAATGGGATCTTTTTACGGCTGTTCCGTGATCACGGTAAATCATCACAATTTTTTCCCCAATCAAAAGATATGATCTACAATGCGGCTGATATCGCAAAGATCTAAATGGATATACCAGAAGAGGTTGTGCTAGCAGGTTTAAAATAAGTAAGTTTTGCTTTTTTGAGCAGCAAGTTTTTTCCTGGAAATTTTGAACCTGGAACACCTGGAATTGTCCTTAAACGTTATTCAACGACACCCTGGACACCCTGTAATTACACCTACTTGTGAGGGATTGTAATCCTGTTCCACACGAGGATCCGTTCCTTTCTTTAGTTTTTGCCTAATTTTTTAAAATATTGGCTGCACAACACTAAATGATATTTCAGAGCACTGAAGTAGTGAAAGCACGAGGTGAATAAGGGAAGGGATAGTCTGTTTGCTTGCAGACTAAAAAAAAAAAATCCCGTCTGCCATCAGGAGTCCGTTCTCATGAGTCCATCTGTCTCTGTGTGCGCCAGCCTTTAGCACTATTTGCAAAGTGAAATTAGATTTCCATCAATTGTGTTCAGTACTTAAAGGATATTGAAATGAGAAATAATTATTTTTTACTATCAAACTTTTCAGACAACCTACAGGCCAGAAGGAAACTACGAGTACCCCTCCTTTAGACATCCTGAATTTAATCCGGTAATATTTATATGCTAAATTTATTCTCTATTTTATTTTCTCTTGTACGTTTTTTTTTTAATTTTAAGTCCATATCACCGCTTTTAAACTGTACTGAATGCACTTTGTAAGTGACTTGTTTCTAATCTTATTTTCAAAGAGTTTAAGTTCAGTTGCTTTTCTATCGTAATTGAGAGATGGTAAGATGACTCTAGTACTATAAATATATAGATAATAACATTGCTTGATCCAAATAAATTTGACTAGTTTGAAAAAAAGGGTTGTGATATATAATAGCCTTTATTTTGAGATGTAAATGCAAGTTTATGATTAGTCTTAACATCCAAAAGAGTTCTTTAAAAAGCATTTCAGACCACAACAACAAATTCCTTCATAGGAAAAATAGTTTAAAATTGCATACTGCTTCCAGCTCTAAATTGGTTTAAGTATTTCAGTGGCTGCTATTAATATCATTGCAACAAGCTTTTCATGTTAAACAATATTTATTTGTATTCTTACCCAAGTATTCACTACAAAACCACATTACCCAACAAATTTTTTTTTAGGACACAGCTTACGATGAAAACGGCATTCCCATTCATGAAAGTCCTGGTTGGACCCCGGTGAGTGTTTTTTTTATTCTGAAAAAGAAATATTTGTATACATTGAAAAGATTAACCTACCTTGCCTACCAAGTGATTCTTTTAGTTCTTGGTGGCTGCATTTACAATTTCACCAAGACATTAAGTTGTTGGACTTGGACGATGTAAAGATTCATCGCATAAAATACAGAAAATACACATACAAAAATAACTTAAACCATCAAAAACAGTAAAAGGCCATTATTAAAAAGTTTTCGCCAAAAGTGCAATAATGACACTCCACTATTCAGATTCAGAGGCTAGGCTAGGCTTCATTTATACTTTTCCATATAGTTGATTGTTAATTTTAATTTGTTACAAATAGGAAAATTGAGAACATGTAACTTTTTTATGTCATCAGATATTTTTCAAATAATTTGGTTTGAGAACTTTTCTTTTTTTTCAGCCACCCACCCTTCCCGGAGACAATAGGTTTGGCAAGGGAAGGAACCAAGCTGGGGCAGGAATGAAACATAAGGTAAGATTTATATTTTGGTAACTCTGAAGGCCAGCAAAGTTGAACTGGAACTGTAATAAATATAGATTAAAGCAATACTTGACAACTCAGCCACAGGCCATGAAATTAATAATCTAACAATGGGTCTAGGAGATTAGAAGTAACAGAGAGGAATGCAAATAGAGATTAACCAAACTTTGTGGTTTGCAGTTGCATAAAAAACCATAAAGTACAGTCATGAGCATGTGTCTAAAGTCTTTAGCACTAAATATCTTTTTAGTATTGACAGGGGCTAGGGAACCATCACCCACTAGGAGGATCTCACAACACAGTAGGTCAGATAACCAAAGATCGGAGTATATCTTCTAACATGTTTAGCCTTCACGTATATTACAAATAAAAGGTTAAATACCTGTAGTACTGTCGGTGATCCGGGTTTAGGTCAGTGACCCAGGTTTCGAACCTAAAGGTTCATTTTCAAGCTGTCACCAGTTAAAACATACTCCAAATCTTCTTCATAACTGGGAAGAGCCGTTAAATAAATACACAAAACACGAACACGAAAACATTAAACAGCAATTGGCCAATTATAATACTGATACGGTAGCGTGCGTGGTGTTTACCTACACACGCATGTATACACCACGCACGCTACTGTATCAGTATTATATAATTGGCCAATTATAATACTGATACGGTAGCGTGCGTGGTGTTTACCTACACCCGCATGTATACACCACGCACGCTACTGTATCAGTATTATATAATTGGCCAATTTTTGTTTAATGTTTCCATGTTTGTGTTTTGTGTATTTTACGAATCTTCCCAGTTATGAAGAGAATTTGGAGTATGTTTTAACTGGTAACAGCTTGAAAATGAACCTTCAGGTTTGAAAACTGGGTCGCTGACCTTAACCCGGATCACCGACAGTACTACAGGTATTTAACCTTTTAATTATAACTTCTCTGTATTTCATATTCATTCACCAAACTGAACTTGAGGAGCTTTGAGAAGATTGTGAGGGCTGACAGTTGTTAGGTTGCACACTATCAGTAACTTGTGAAGGCCTACTGGTAGGAAAAATCCTGGTAGATTACTCAAGTAGGAAAACAGCTTCTTGCCTGTAGGGGAAAATTTATGAAACCAAACCTAAGCAAAGTATGTTTATCAACAGATTACGAAATTGGTTGAAAAGTCTGCTTGCTAAGAGCTCTTAACAATGTTAATGACATTTGATGCATGAACTTACTTTATTAATTACTTATTTAATTAACGTGTAATAAAGGATCAAGTTGGAGCTATTTACAGACTGTTTCTTCTAAAAGTAAAAATGTTGAAATGTTCCACTAATAATATTTAATCTCTATTTTTACCACATTATTGCCTCGGTGAAAATAAGTTGCGATCATTAAAGGAGATGGTTTAAGTTTTCATGTTTGTAATAATTTGTGGAATGATGTAGTTAAATTTAATTCAATAATAGTAAAACTAACACAATAATACTACCAATTTGGCAATTTATGTTTTCTTTCAGGCCACTGGACCCATACCAGTACCTCAAATTGCTAAAAAAATTAAACCGGTAAGTTACAAACCTACTGTTTTTGTTTTTGTGATGTATATATTTTTTAAATATAAATTAATGTACTTTTCTTATCGATTTAAAAGGTTTCATTTAAAATTATATGTCATTTTTAGAACATTTAAATAACATTTGAAAATTGAGAAATATTTGGTATTTCTAACAGTTTTACTTAAAGAAAAGAGTAAAATGTGTAATGAAAAGTGGCTAGGATAGAAACAATTGAAATTTCGTCCATGATATTAATATTTTTATAATAAAATATTTCACAAATAGACAGTTGTGTTTATTATAAAAATATAAAAATATAAAAAAAATATAAAAATATAAAAAATCTTGAGCATTGAACTTTGACGTTCTAAAATCTTCTTTTTTTTTGACGCATGTCCTATTCTCCCACGAATATGTAAATAAAGAACATTGTCTATTGTCTATTGTATATTGTCTATTGAACATTTTTAAGTTAAATTAACTAATAATATTCCATCAGGAACCCAAAAAACTTGCTGTAAGTGTCACCAACCCGAAATACAGTCTTCATCCAGAAGACAAAATGATCAATGTGAGTACAAAAATTATCATTTTACTTGATGTGAAAAAAATGTAGACTTAGATCTAGTAGATAGTCTTTAGAAAAAGTTACCTATTCTAGACATTGAATAATTAAAATATTATCTACTAGTTCCTCTCAACTGAACTTGATCTGTATACTTTTTACTGTAAAAAAGATTAATTTAGTCTCCCTTTTCATTTTTAGGTTTTATTACTATCTTTAACTGTTTCAGAACTACCATGGACTTCAAGACCATCTGGCTCTTTTAGAGGTATGTCCAAAAATATGTTGTTTTCCTAAAAGGATTCAATAATTTTCAAATTGTGAAATTTAATATTGTAATTTATATTGATATAATGTCTCTTGTGTTTGATGATTAATTAATACAGAGTTTTTTATCAACGTATTTAGTACACTTAGGCCTACAACCCTTTTTTCTTGAACTCAGCCTTGCATGAAGTTGTATTTCCCAAAGATCGAAAAGGTTAAAATAAAACTTGAAAGAACTTAAAGTGTATGAGTTAAAGTTTCAAATACGTCCGCAAAATCAGTAAACTAAATTAATAAATTTGACTTTTAAAGTAAACAAGTGATTACAGTAGTTATTATTAGGTATTTCAAACTATTTTTGGGATAGTTTATATCTTATTCCTCATTGATAAAAATAAAATTTTAAGTGGTAGTTTTGTAATTGATTTAATCTAAGATGTGAAGTAGCTTGTTACCCATTACAATTTATATATTTAAAATTTCAGCACCAAAAAGCCGTGGAGAGCCACCTAGGATTACATCTTGATCCGCTTCACCCTTCTGTGAGTGCGTTGTGCTTTATTTAGGCCTATATAGTTTTTTCTAACAATTGTAAAACATTTTAACTAAGTCTATTTCCTTTGTGTAAGAGCTTCAACAATATTTAATCAATAAACCATTAAAAACTTTAGATTTAATTCTCATCATCAAATTTATTTTCAAACTAAAAACCATTTTTGATTGATTGAAACGATTTCGCTTGGTTATGTAAATGCTCATATTTCTTTTTTAAATTAGAGGTATATCAGAATGCTACTTTACGCTATAAATTTATTTCTTTTAGTGATACCGATTTCATAGCAATCAATTTTGTTTCAATATTAACAACTGCAGAAAACAGCAAACAATAAGCAATTTATTATTATAACCTAAACAGATTTTAAGTTTGGAAAAATATGTCAATTATAGCAAAACGTGCCTTACATCTAAAAAAAAACAAAATAAAACCAGTTTGATGCAATTAAATAAATTAAAAAAATATATGTTGTCTGAAAGATATGAGTAATGTTTTAGACATGGTACTTTACTTTTTGTAAGGGTACAATTACAAGATGTTTTAACTAAGGTTTTACAGAACTGTAATACTAGTCAGGTCAGTTAATATCAAATGGATTTTTATTTGCATTGTTTGTTTTAGGTATCCCATGAGAATGTGAATCCACCAATGTTACACAAAAAGGTTTGTTATTCTTTTTCATTTTGGTTGTAGAAAGATCCCTTGGATATACTAATAGAATTTTACATTTAAAGAATGTTTACCTTGGATACTTATTTTGTTTGTTCTGGGTTACTGTATGGTTATTTTGTTGACATTTAAAGAAGTTTTATTAACTTTTTTATAGCCTAAGCTTTAAACAGTAATGTTATGTAAAATTCACAATTTTGTTGTGTATTATTAAACTGTCCTAAAATTATTTGTTTATTTTACAGGGTATTGGAGTTGACAATATTAACCATCGTATTAGAAAGCGCAAGGTAATTTTCTGATTTTTGTGTGAGAATTTAGTGTTGAGGGAATAGATTAATGTTCAGACTGGAGGCCATTGTCTTGATATATCATTGAAATGAAATGAAAAATGCTTTATTGTCTTTTGAATTTGTACAAATCATCGAAAATGTCAAGATACAGCTACAATTATAGCATAGTCAGTTAATTAATTAATAAAATACTTATAGCTAACCAAACAAAGGGAGACATATTATAATACATATTCTAAATGAATAATTACAACTGAAGAATCTTATTCTTAAAAAATCTTCCAAACTATAAAACGGGTTATTGGTCCGCCAACAATAAAATTTATTTTTGAAATCCTTTATTAATTTTTAATTTAATTATGGATTCAAGAAAGTTGTTCATTAACTTGTTGTCAACTTAAGAAAACTTTACCATTGCAATAGTTTTAATATATTAAAGTAGTTATCATTGTATCATCGTTTAACTAAGTACTGTAATTAATATTAATAGCACATAGGCTGTAGTTTTTAATTGAACAACAAATAGTTGGATTAGTTTGATCAATGTGAAATTTGCTTTCAGGGCAAAGTTCAATTTTAACTCAATAGAAATTCATATACAGTCAAAAACCGTTAGTACAAACCTTGGTAAAACATATTTTTTTCAATCTCCTTGAAACTTTCATTATGCTAAAAACACCTCTATACAACATAGTAATTAGGCTAAACACCTCCGTAAGACGAATTTATTTGTGTCATGGGCTAGGACTGATTAACCTCTATACAACAAATATTCTTAGCACAAAACTTCTACAAAGACAAATGTGAACTCTATAAGACAAATTTTGCATGATTTCAACCTCCATAGTAAGTAGTTTTCAAAACAAATAGAAGTTGTCTCAACATGAAACCTCCCACCCATCCCTCTTCCTTCCTCAGTCATTGTTTGGCATTTGCATGTGCCGAGGAGGAACCTATATAAGACGAATAACAGCAGTATGAAACCTCGATAAAATGTACCTCTTTATTAAGAATACCTTGATAATATTGTGTTTTCCCCCACCCCTTGAAATTCATCTTATAGAGGTTTGAATGTAGTGTATGAACAGTGCAACAGACATAGTAACTGAAATGATGACATTAAGGCCGGCCACACACAGAACCAGGCGGGGCGGGGCGCGACAGGGCACGACGAGACGCCTGATTTGCCCTGTCCTGCTGCTGTCACACACAGAATGAGACGGGGCACGTCAAGTAGTAACAAGTTTAGCCCCCATAAACCGGAAAATTAATATAGGATTTTTTTTTATTTCTGAGCCTTGAGCCGATTTAGCAAACTTTTAAAATGGACTTTAATACTTGGGAGCAGAATAGAAAACAAAATTTAAACAGCCATACCTCCAGAAAAGTGTTTTTTGAAACCCTTAAGATATGAACGTTTGCCCTCTATTTCCTCAGTTATCAATACAAAGATAAATTATTATTTATTCAACCACTGTAGTAATATCACTACTTCACTACGACTTGTATAGTCGTATCAAAGGGTGTAATATTTGGTCGTACAAATTGTTACTGTACAGTCTTATTTGTAAATATTATCGGTTGTAAAATAATCCTTATCCAAATTTGCCCGTCAGTGAATAAATCACATGACCGCGCATGCGCAGAAAGTTCTGCCCGGCAGCGACTTGCCTCGGGGCATAATTTTGGAGACCTTCGCATTTTGCCCTGAGGGCGCCCGGGGGCGTCTTTTCGACGTGCCCTGCCTCGCCCGGTCCTGTGTGTGGAGCTCAATAAGCGCCCGTGCAATTCCCGTCGCACAAGACGCCCCGGGGCAAAATGCCCTGTCGCGCCCTGCCTTGCCTGGTTCTGTGTGTGGCCGGCCTAAGCCTAATGCAAAGTGTGAAATTACCATTATGTTTATAAAAGTAAATACAATTTCAAACAGGAAAATAGCTGGAATGATAATGCACCTGGCAATTTTGTTCTCATGGATCTTTCTTTTAGATAAGAGATTTTAAACATTGTTTTCACTGCAATTATTTAACATCCAATAATGTTTATGCATATATGTTTTTGTCCTTATTGTAATTGTAGCAGATATGTGTATTTGAGTAACCAAAAGAGTGCAGTTTTTGTTAAATCTACCACCAATATTCCAGATTAATTTTACCATTTTCCATTAGGCTGCCGTCTCAGGATCTTTGGAGTCTCTTGAGTCAATTAGCCAGGTGTTGGACTCAGATGAATTGAAAGTCGGTTCATCAATCCAAAATCTTGCTGCGGCTAAGGAAACTGCTTATGTAAGTAGTCTGCAAATCTAATAATGTTGCTCGTATGAGTGCTATAAAATTATATTTAGTCATTTAAGATCAGAATGACTATTTTAAGGTTGTATTAGTTGGTAGAAAGTATTTCAGTCTTAGAGGGAAGTGGTTGGCTTTAAAATATACATGTTATGTATCAAGAACACTTTCACAAAGTAAATTGTGCATACCCATTATTAAATGTGTTTTACACCATAGCAATATTGTTCTGCAATCACTCATAAGTTTAATGTTGAGTAAATTTCATTCAACAGGAGTTACTAAGGATATGTTAAATGAATTAAGTTTTCAATTTTAATATAAATTGCAGTTAAATAACAAAATATTCATAAATTGATGACTGCTCCCATGCTCTCTTAAAAAACAAACAATAATTGTTCATAGAGATTGTGAACTGCCTAGTTTTATTTTATCATAGTTAAAAAATAAAGTTATAACAACACACAAATAATTGTTTTCATCAGACTGTCCAGAAAGCAGCCATTTTTAGTTCTCGAAATCGTCTGCAAAATCGTTGTTTTTGGGTAACTTCGAATAGGGAACAGAAAAAACATATGGTGAATTTTTCGGTTTGCTAACCTCAAAATTTTGTTACACTGTTAATCCCCATAGAGACGAATGGACTATAAAGATCTTTTAAATTATGTTTGTAAACAACAGAAATGTAAACATTGATGACGTCTTAGTAAGAACCTCACATGATGGAGTCTAATTTTGTAACGATTAGGAGGTTATTTCCACAGTATGATGAAAATAGTTGTTCATCACATGGTGCAAAGTGGTTTTGGTACTTAACTTAATATTACTTCCAAGCTCGGCTGCGCCTCTCTTGTAAGACACAATTGCATACCAAAAAGAGCCACTTTTGCTCTTAGTGATGAAGAAAACTACTAGAAATATGATAATGTCACATTTATAATTCTATAAACCATAAGCAACATTTCTTATACCTCTATTTATTTTCTATCCCTATTAGTGGCAACACTGTCACAGTGCATTAAGGTTCACATTGCCTAGTCTTTGGAAATTTACCTATTCCTACAATTTTTCCTCTTCAACATTCTGTGTGTGTTTTTCTTGCTGCCGCAAACGAAAGCTTAATGCACTGTGCGTGTTGTGACTTGTCTCAACATGTCCTGAATGCTTGTTTAACGTGATTTGTTGAAAGTGACGTAAGTTCGTTGAGTTTCACAGATGCTGCTAGATGTTAAGCTTTCGTTTGCCTGGCGGCCACCACTTTAGCATGGTAGGTATTTGTTGACAATGGTTGTTTATAATGTCATGATTAAGATATGTTTACTAGCTCCAATTTGAATATTTATATTTTTTTAAGTTTATTCAGTTGGTATAGTGTGAAGCCATAACATGTCATGATTAAGATATGTTTACTAGCTCCAATTTGAATATTTATATTTTTTCAAGTTTAATTATTCAGTTGGTATAGTGTGAAGCTATAACATGAATTAGTTACAAACTTGACAGTTTGACAGTGTTTATTAAAGATAAACTGATAGAATTATTTGAGAAATAAGGTAAATGTAAATGCATTTTTTAATATTAAAATCAAGCTTTCAGTGTGTTTGTGGTATTGCAGTCAATGTACCCAGAATCTGAAAGTGTTGTGTTTTTGGATGAAAAAGATCCGATTGAAGCATATGAAAGGGAAAGGCTATTAAGAACTGCAAGTCCTACTCCTCTTGTGAGTTGTAATTGATTGTTATTTCAAATCTTTGGGAACTCCAACCATCCAAATTGCCGATTATACAAATAATCAATTTTATATAAAATTTTAAAGTGCTTACAGAAAAAATTTAAATGCACAGTAATAAGATTTGTTATTAAAGAAGGCAGAATCCATGATCGCGGGAAAATCCAAAACCTGTCTCGCAATCGTGTTGACGTTGACACCATCATGGTCTCCCGCGATTGCAGCAAAATAATGAACTCATCCCACGGTAGTGTAGACACCTTCATCGTCTCCTGCAGTCATTGTAACATCCTCATCATTTTTCCCGATCGTGTCTAAATGATAAATATATTCCACAGCTGTGTTGACACCATCATTGTCTACCACGATTGCGGCAAAATGATAAACATATCTCACAGTTGCGTAGACACCTTCATCGTCTCCCGCAGTCATGGTAACATCAACATCGTTGTTTGCAATTGCGCCAAATGATAAATATATCCCACGGTCGAGTTGACACCACCATTGTCTCCTGGGGTATGGAAAATCATAATCTTACTTTGCGATCCCTGCAAAAGAGTACGTTTTCTGATCGCGAAATTATCGTAGACGTGTTCTGCAATTGCAATTGTAAAACCTCGGCATTACTTGGCCTGTTTTTAAAGACTCTGAATTTCAGTAAAAATCCAATTATCCAAATGTTTGATTATTCGAATGGGGTCCGGCCCCAATTGATTTGGATAGCTGGTGGAGTTCTACCTTATCTGTAACTTTTCAACACTATCATATTCTGTTAAATGTGTGGAATTTGTGAAGTCAAATTGAGAATGATGTATGTAGAACTTATCTAACCATAATACTAAATTGGTTACATCTCAGGATTTATTTAATATAAAGGATTGGTAGGTTTGAATAAGTATTTTCATAAGCTTATATGAGTTTATTTGTTTTTAGGGTGGAACAAGAACTACAAGGCTTACAAAACAAGTAAGATTTTTAAGACATTTTAAGATTTTAACCACTTTTTCACTTTAACAAGTTACTCCTCTTAGTAATCAATAAATAAAATAAATAAAAATAAATAAATAAATAATAAATAAATAAATCAATCAATCAATAAAAAGTTATCAATACCAGTACTCCTATGATGCGTTTAACTTAAGTTTCCATGTTATTTCACACATATACACTTTATCCCTCTTGGATTGAATTTGTGTGTATTTACTTAAAAGTATGACTTTTTTTAAAGCAATCTTCTTTTTCAAAAATGTCTAGTGCCTATTTAAAATACGAAATTTGATAAATATTACTATTTACTTTGATTTTAAGTTAGTTTTTTTCAATAACATTTTCTACCATGATTAAAATTATATTGAATTCTACTCAGAGTAACAAACATTTGTGTGTACTTGCTTGTTTACATAATGATATTGCATTATTGTATTATTGTTGTCTTATGTTGTTTAGGGTTGTAAGTGTGATTATATCTGGTATTTTAATATTTCCCTTGTTACAGGCTTGGTTGAAGAACATAAGTTTAGCTCAATGGCGGCCGACTGGAGTATGTATGAAAAGTTTGTAATATTCTCGCAAATGACTGGAAAGGCATTTTACTATCATTTTAAGTTTTATCATTTACAAAGGACATGTTGAGACATTAACCCCCCCCCCCCCTAACCTAAAACTATAAATATTTGTTTTTAATATTTGCTGTTTGTCAAATATTTTTATTTATATATTTTACTTTGTTGATTTTATGTGTGTTTTAGAAGCGGACGGCAGCTATGCTTCTCTGCGTGAATTTATTTGTAAAAACAGAACTTTAATTGTTGTATTTACTGTTCTAGAAACTGACGGAAACAGAGCTGCAAAACAAAGAGGACAGTGTGAGTAGCCTAATTTTATCAATTATCAATTATTTAAGATGAAGACGCCACTAGGTGTGTATTTTAACCCTATGTTAGCCTATATGATTAAACAAATGTAATATAATAGATTTTTGTCATATGGTTTAAATTATGACTGATCCAGCCAATTGTAAGTTCATACAAAAATATACCAGCCAGTAACCTTATGCACATGGTAAAATAATTTTCTAGGTCAGTGTACAGTGCTGCTTTGAGAAAAATAAGATACAACATCCTAAGCTAAATTTCTTGGTAAACTATAAATGAATTAATCTTAACTATTGTAATCAACATTTATTATTTAATTCAATAAAAAAAACCATTTATTTAATTAAAATTGTGTCCAATTTTGTGTGCTCCCACTCAAGCAAGAAAATCTTCAATCATGTAATTCCGATTTATTACTAGAAAAGCCTATTCATTTACAAGTTTGATTTTCTAACTATAGTCAAACTTATATTTATCATTAGTCTGTTCTTAAATAGTAATTATGTAAATGTTAATGAGTAAGTGGTATTATTTATATTTTCAGGCTCCATTGGAAGCACTTAACCCTGCATTATATGCTCATAGAAATGTAAGTATTTCAATGATGTTTATTAAATATTTTGAGTAGTTTTTATATATTTTAATTTGTTTTTATTTTAATGGATTTAATTTTTAGTTTTTGAAATATTTAAATACCATGCATGTAAAATAAAGTGCATCAATAACACACTTAAGTCAGTCTTTACCAGAAAAGGATATAAATCAGGTTTGATCCAGGCAAAGACAAAGTAGGGCCTATACCAACAATCTAAAGTGTTCTTGGCTCCAGACAGAATGTTATATAACTTATGTGTGTTGTTGCAATACCAGGTTTTTAATTCATTATAATACGCTTTTAAAATGATCACATCAAAAGGTTTATCAGCCATGTCACAGATAGTAATTTATTCCGCCTTTCAGCAGTAAAATATTGTAATTAGCATCATCATCATCATCACCACCACCGTCATCATCATCATCATCATCATTGAGCAACCATAACCAATTCAAGCTAGTTCCAATCATTCTTTAATGAGAAGTGTTTGTTAAATTAGATGTTTGAAGCAAAAAAGAAACCCCAGAAACCTGAACCTGAATTGAACCTGAACGAGCTGTCTTTAGACAAGTTACCGATAAACCTGAAAAAATTGGCCAGAAATAGTGTGAGTATATTCTAGATTCGTTGGTGACTTCCTTCAGTTCTTAACAGTAAACCTATTGTGAAGTTATATATAGTGCTGTGATGCAAATCAATATTATTTTATTCAACAATTAGTCAGATTGATAATATGATAGACTCACGTCTTGATTGAAAATGGGAACTAAACTATTGGCTAATCTAATATATAAGCATAAAAAATGTGTGGACAATTTTCAATATTGTTTCTTAAACTATAATTACTTTCTTAAGATGTTCAAGAGGTTAATTATTCTGAGGAGGTTATAGCACGTACCCAGACTAAATTGCACTAGAACCTAGAGTTAACTGTTCACATTCTGTACCTAAAAACGAAAACCCTTAATTGTGAATGAGTCGTGAATTTTGTCAACCGTGAAAACCCTGGATCGTGCAGTGAATTTTGTTGTTCAACTTTGAAAAAGGGGCGGAAAGTGTTACATTGTTCCTGAAGGTATATGTTCAAATCTTGGCCCTCAATTTTCAGTTATCTAGATAACAGGTATTTGGTAGGTGAAGGAAAAAAAGTGGGAAAATTAATTCTAAGTCACTAATAGGCTTAAAAGATTCCATTTAAGTGTTACTGATTGCCAACATAACACTTCCTATGGTGTGTCTGGTGGCAGGCTGAAGTGATAGCTGTAATTGTGAGCAAGGACGGATCCATTCCCAAGTGCCACATCAGTTCCAGACTGAAGAACAGAGAATTGCCTCAACTACCACTGTCTTCACCAGAGGTATCTGAGAACTGGTTACATATCCACCTTATAGCATACATGTTAAACATTTTCTTCAACTTTAAAATACTTATTGTGTGTGTATTAAGGCTGTTATGATTATTTTTCTGTTTTTTGTAAGGAAACAGTCCAATCTCTTGTATTGTTACTATTTAATGGTATCCTTTTGACTAATTGAAATCCCAATCCCAATGACAAATATCATCTCAAACCAGATTTGAGCATGATTGGGATCTAATCAGCAACCTTTGTACTTGATTGCACTGTAACCACTGTCACTCATACATACAAGAGGTTTTTAAAGACTAAAGAGTAAACTATTTTTGTCTCAATTTTCCTATATTTCACTTATACACTATACTGTTGTATGTAAAATGTAACATGTATATTGAAATTTAAGTCTCTTAAACTTATTTACTAACATTTTGTTATTTTAAGTTTATAAATGCTTTGTATTTTTGTAGATGCCAGAGATTTATAATAAGAAAAATAAAAATGAAGGACGTAACCCTCTTCTATACAAACACAGAAACGTAAGTTATGAACTGTCAAAATTACGATTCAATATTTTATTAGTGTAAATAAATAGGTACCAAGTACTACATCACAATAAAAATTCAGTTTAGGATACAAAAATTGGTAATTGATAATAGTGGCTAGACTTACCTTTCTCAAATGTTTTGTCATGTGGAGCAACAGTGTATTGTATTATGATTCTGTTTTAATTCATAGACTGCTTTATTGTTGAACTAGCTGTACCCGCGGGCTTTGCCCCGTTTAACTTCACAAGTGAGCTCGTTCGCATGGCTCAATGACGTCCTGGTTAAAGTTTGTTCGCTACGCTCACTCACCTTTAGGTTGGAGCTCGTTCGCTCCGCTCACTTGCCTTCAGGTTAGCTCGTTCGCTACGCTAACTCGCTGCCAGGTTAAAGTTCGTTCGCTACGCTCACTCACCTTTTGTTTGCAAATTGGCTGTAGTCATAAATTTAAGAAAATAATAGTGCTGCACCCTGTTGGTAATCCTTGTAACTTAAATGCTATTGAACATCATAGAACAGAACCAACTTGTTTAATTGAAACAGCTGTTAAGAAATTCCTTTTAATTATGAAAAATCATAAGGTTAACATGGGAAACTCCAGAGCCACTGGGGCGGAGCCTGAAATCCAGATCAGAATAAAAACTACTTAGTTTTCCTATTTAATGCCCAAAGAATCGGTGTACCGAATTTCAGCCTCCTAGGTAAATGGGAAGTGGGAGAATTAGTGATGAGTGAGTGAGTGAGTGAGTCAGTCAGTGAGGGCTTTGTCTTTTATATGGTGGCTAGACTTACCTTTCTCAAATGTTTTGTCATGTGAAGCAACAGTGTATTGTATTATGATACTGTTTTAATTCATAGACTGCTTTATTGTTGAATGGGAATATTTTTTGTTTGTTGTGTCAGCGCAAGAATAATAAGAATGTTTTAAGAACAAAGTCCGATTGTGGCCAAGGGGAGTAGTTCAAGATACCACTGTCATGTTCTTTGATTCCCCCACTACTATTATTGCTAGTTCTTATCAATATGCAACAATGTCAGTAGTTTATACCGATGTAAGGGGAAATCAATGCTCCCGCAAAGTATGAATAACGTTCTATGATTAGATTTCGGTGGAAAGTGGAGCAGCCCCTAATTCAAAAATAGAGACGAATACGTTTACAGAAGTGTTAAAAGAAATGTCCATAAAATGTGTAAAAATGTAAAAAATCCTCATAAGTGGCTTAGGGAGTTTGTAGAAGGCCATACACAACTGTATGATAAGGCAGTTAATTGTTCTTCACATTGTTATCAGCTATGACAACACAAATCATTGCATAGAGGTGGGAACCATCTTGAATACTGTAGTTGGGGAAGTAAAGAATACACAGAATCAGTGGCAGTTCCGGGGGGGGGAGGGGGGCACAGAGACTAAACCCTATTGGACCCTGGAAAAACAAACTTTAACATACATCTTGTCCTAAGAACATAATGGAAAGTCCTCCTCTCTTGAAGGTGTGTCCCACACTCCCCAAACTCCCATTAGATCTTCCCTTGACAAGGTCCTAAAACCGCCACTGCACTAACTAAACTAGGATGTTAAATTCATAGTTAGAATCCCTTTTTACTTGTTCCTAGGTAACCATTTACCTCATTAAAACCATTACAATCAAATCAATATTAAATTCAACCACCATCTCCTAAAATGCTCAAAAATTTGAAAGACAGTATAAAAAAGAATCTAGTGACATCTAACAGGGCCAACCATGCCATACTTTTCAGTTTAGCTGTGATAGCCACTGCAACAGCTGTTACTATTATTAGTCCATGTAGAAACAAGGGGAATGATGAAACTTGTTAGCCTTCCAGTCAGAAACCTGTCCCTCCTCTTTCTACAATCTTCATTTTATCTTCGAAAAGTAACAAGTAAACAATGATCAAAACATGGTTTATCAATTGACATCAGCTCTCTGGCATCGAGAATAAATCAAAATTTAATAAAAAAAAATATAAGTTGCATTGGTTTATATTAATTGATAGTTTTTCTAAGAGTGTGAATTTGAAGAAACTACTGCAGTTTTATTCTGGTAGTAATATCGTGGTTTTTTTATAGTTCAATGTCAATAAATGTTCAAAAAAGGCAATATTAACTGGATTGGAAGTGTTACAATTAATATTACATTTGTTTATGTTAAATGAAATAATTTAAGTTAGTGTAAATACATAATGATATAATTTTTTCTAGGAGTTTTGGCCACTTATAAAAAATACAGATCACTTGAGCTAGAAAAATCTGTTAGAAATAAACAAAAATTATCCAATATGCATTTATTGTCTGAAAATTTAAAAAGTATGTAATTTACTTTTTCATTTTTTTTTTCAGTTAATATTATGAATTTATGGAAAACTCAATTTATTTTTAGTTATTGTTATTTAAGGTTTTATGACATGTCTTATGGGGAAAATAGAGTCGAACAGAATAAATTAACAAATAAATTGTTATATATACATTTTACTTATCAATTAGAATGCAACTATATTAAAATCCGAATTTCAACATCTCTCACAGTACAATAAACTCGTCGCACATGTCGTGTTTGGTGACCACCTTATTCAATGAAGCCAGGAGCTTCTCCTCCATTAGGGTTTTCACAGTAGAGTTGAGGTGAACATTGACCCATCCCTCAATATTGCTGGCTAGAAAGTTGAGTGACCTCAAGCCTCTGACTTCTGTTCTTAGTTCGCTCTGATCACTCACCTCAAAACTTCTCTCTCCCAGGGTGACGTTGCAGTTTGCCAATTCGTTATTACCTTCATCTTCGTTATTATATCTTCTTATTGGTTGGCTGACTCGGATTTGCAGACTTAACACGTACGATATCGGACCCGTAGAGATTGCCCCTGAAGAGTTCTTCCCTCCGCCTGTCGCTTCATAGCAGAACTTTACTGATTCTGCGTACACTTGGAAACATTCGACGCAAACTAGAAAAACTTCTTTTCCAAGTGCGTTACTCACTTTATACTTCCTCAAGGCTCCTGATGACATTGTTTCTGAAGACTTCAACACTGGGTTTTGCAGCCACCCGTTGAAAGCATGAAATACTACTTTCATTCCTTTGTACTCCACCTTTTCGTTGATTTCTGGAAGATAGTAAACTCCTTGCTTTCCCAGGCTGCCAGTCATAAGCTCGAAGGATTCTTTGAAAATGTCGTTGAGTGAAGTTGCTATACGGCTGATATCTGCAGTTATACCGAGGTCTTTGAAAGCCATAGAGGAAAATCCTGGCTTAAACACAGTGAAAACAACTAACAAAATACACAGTTTCATTGTCACTAGTATGAAACTCACAACACTACAAATGATACTGAAACACTGGACTTTCGTTGAGAGTTATATAAAACGTCTTCAATCTGAAACTAGATAAGACAACATGCCCTCCAACAAGGGTTCTTTCATTGATAATGAGGTTGACATAATCAGAGTAAATAGATGGTTGTTTTTATTTAACTTGAGTTCTAATTTCATCTTTGACCCAAATATCATAGTAATGTTTGTTTACTCTACTAATGCTAGTGATTGTTGTTGTATTGATTTTTCTTCTGATTATTATATGTAGAGGACTTTTTGACTATGTCAACATTTATGTGGCATTTTCATTCTAGTTATTTCCCAGATTTTTGAACAAATCTATGTGTTAGAAATTTAAGATAGTAAGTTAAAAAACAAAAATAAGAATTTATATTAAAGGAATTTTATCTTTTCATTGTTTATTTATTTATTTTGTTGTTGATACTTTGCATTATATTTGATTATTGACAATTGTAGATTAATTAAGTTAAATGTCAGGTGTACAACTGTTGCAGATGTTGACAATCAGTGATTTGAAGGATGATGGCATGAGGATCAACAGTGGAGATTTGGTGAGTCAATAAAAAAGATTGGTAAATGTCAGTTAAACATAGTATACAAACTTGAAATAGCTTAGAATATTATTTGATAAAAAAACAATAAGATTTTTATGATCACATTCCCATCCCATTGATGGCCAGAAACCCTTATTAATAGCTGTTTTGTATCCTTTTTTAAAGACAAAAATTAATTATCAATAATTGAAATTTGTATCTCAACATCCACCATTGCTTCCTCATTGTTTTCATTATTCCAGTATGACAATTATTAAGTGAGTGTTCATTTATTTTATTATTATTAATTGATCCTTTGTTTCCAAAATAATGATGTTGACTTGACTTTCAAGATTTTTCCTCGCCATGTAGGGATAATAACAAGCTTGGTTCAATTTAACATGTCAAAATATGTTTTTTTTTTTAGTATTTATAGACTTTTGTGTCCTTCTGAAGTTAATCTTGCTCTCTGTTTTTATTTATCTTTCTGTAATAATATTGGGATAAATAAACGTATTTCATTTCATTTTATTTATTTATTTTGTATTATTTGTTTCAAATTTAAAAATGTTATTTGTGTTTCAGATAAAACAAATGTTACAAGATAAAAAGGACAAAAGGCAAAATGGACAGGTAAGTGATTGGGATTCAAATTACTAAAATGGTTCATTTTTTACAGAGGCAAATTATATTGATAACTATTCAAGACCTTACATTTATCCTATAAATACCAACAATACAAAAACGGTGACCCTCTAAAGCCTGATCCCAGATTCAAGAGCCAGAAATCTCATGAAACTTTTAATTTTTTTTACTAATCGTTATGGTAAATTTTCATCATAATGCTTTTAAATAGCTTACTACCAAAAAAATTAACTTCAAACCGCGGCACTCAAAAACCTCTTTAAAAAAAAATACAGCCCTACCAATAGAGAAAAACATAATTGCACATAACTGCACTTTATAATATGTACCTATACACAAGAGGGTTTGATTGAAACAAATTTAAAACCTTCAATTATAAAAATTGTTTGCCTGTTGTGTTGTCATTGCCCTCAAAATGGATAAAAAATACATATTCTTGGTAACTGAAAATTTAACTGACAAGTTTAAGTCCCTGTTTAGTTGATTAAAAACTACAAACAGATGTCAGATTGTTTGTTTAAGCATAGAAAAACAATTATTTTATAAAACTATTTTGAATTATTAAATCATGTTGAAAATGAAATTATATGAATAGAAAACAATTTTGTTTGTTTTCCAGGCAGTACGATTGGACGATTTTGTGAAAGGAGGGCACCCAAGTCAGGATATAAGATTTGTATGTAGAAAACAATAGAATTCTTTCAATTAAATTTTAATGCAATAGCTTTAGAATATACAGTTATTTATTTGATCATAGTTTTGTAGACTATTTTACTTTAAAAATATTAAAAATAAAACTTAAATTTACTGCTTTTTACATGTTAACATTTAAAAATCATGTAATTAGGGAACTGACTTTACTGATTTAAGTACAAAATTACTTGTAAATTCTACTTTATGATTGGCAATTTGGATAGCAATTTTTAATGATACCTATATGAGATTATGCAAAGTTACTTAAGGGACCCTCCCCTTTTGCCGGTGGGGCGGGGGCACCCCTGGACCCCCAAGGGATATGTCAGCGTTAATTGTGAACCTCCTATTAGTCAAGTCACCACGAGCCGCCTCTTGATAGGTCTGTTTGTAGAGTATTAACTACTATCTTGTACTACTGTTATATTTGTTGGTAAATATTTTCCAGAAAGGTAGAGGGAGAGAAAATTACAACCCATTATACCTGAATGAAAGAAGAGTGAGTATATTCTCATAATGGTAATGATAATGATAATCCTTGTTAGTCATATTCTATAATCCAGCCATTACCGTAGTGTATATGTTGAAGAAGTACCAAAATAAATATGTTAACTGTTTGGAGTTCAAGGTGAATTTCCCACTCCTACAAAACATACCTAAATTAAATCCTTTTGACTATAGCTACACTAGGTGAAGTATCCAATTCAATGGTAACCACAAAAAAACCCTGATCCAAGTTGTATTAACTGATTCTTAGTCTTGTTTTTAAATGAATTAATGAATCTGTTATTTCTCATAATTTTATTTTTATTTGAAGTATATTAATTAGCGTGCCTGATTCGGTGAGTCCATGGCACTTGCCATCTCTTTTAATCAGTATACAGTTCACCCTTGCACTGTACCGGCTAACCCCTTCTTTGCCTTGCTAAATACCACGCACACAGGCCCAAGGCCTATGTAGATGGGTAAATACAAAATTAAAAGAGGCTGCAAACCTCTTAGTGCTTGTTTTTGCCTAACAAGTTTGAAAGAGTGTACCGTACAGAACATAATATTAAGAGAACTATTAATCATTTTTAGGCTATGATTTTGATATACATAGGTTCAATAATTAATTAGAAAATCAATAATATAGACATCCTTTCTATATTATTTAAGTGTGTAAGATAAGCTGAAATATTTGTAAATACTTGAGTGATTACTTTAAACTAGGGATTACTTATAAAAAAAATGTAACTGCTTTGGATTTTATTGTAAAAAAAATAGAGAATCTTTTCAATAATTAAATTCAAGTTGTAAAAACAAGGTTTTGGTATTGATTATAGATTATAGATATCTTTTGTCCATGATTTAGGCACTAATTAATGATTCATGATTATTTCAGCTCCTGTATGCAAAGACAAACCAATTTCAAGTAAGTACTTATTTAGCATAAATTTCAGCAACGTATTTTGTTTGTAGGTCTACATAACATTCAAAATAGTTTCCCTAAATTTTCAAAAATAATGGTTGAAAAAATATCTTACGAAAAAATAATATTCAAGCTTTTTGTAAACAGGTTTTTGTTTGTGAATAATTGTTTGATAAACTATCTATTTGCCATTATTTGTCATTTTAAGAAACACTGGTGCTCTTAAGAGTAGAGAGTTATAAATAGGGAATTATAATTCAAATTTAGTTCCATCAGCTAAATCAGCTTGATTTTTAATGGAACCTTCTAGGTTATGCAGTTTGTGTTCTTCCATTTTACCTGTTGAATTCAGCACTAAATTTAGTTTTTTCATGCTTATCAACAAAGTTGATTATTTAGCTTTTGTATTTTCAGCCTGACAGCAATGAAACTCCTCATGCTAAAAGAGAAGTAAGTAGTTTGATATTTTTATCTTGATAGCTTATTTTTATTTTAAACTTTAAGGCTCATGATAAATATTTTTTTTTTATTGACAGCTCAGCAAAAAATATTTTCTTACCAACTAGTCCCAGTATGTCCAAAAAAAGATTTTTAGAAAATAAATCTTCCATTATGTCTAAAAATAAATTAAGGAGTGTTAATTAAAATGACTCAAGTTTGATCATATCCAAGACCATCAAATTATCTCATAATGTCCAAAATTAAAATTTTAGAAAAGTTTTATAAAGCACAAAAAAACAGTCAAGGCAGGCAAAAATATACCACACAACCTACTGCTGGGAAGTCATTGCAGGAGCCTTACTATTTCAAAACTGTAGGCTACTGTTTTCTGCCTTTGTAAAATGTTGCGGATAAAATGTTGATGGTCTTGGATGGACATTATGGCCTATAAAAAAAAAAAACAATATATTGGGGAAACATTGCTTTAATCTATTTCTTACATATTTTTATAAATCAATCGCATAAGCTTTATCAGCTAGAACATCATTTAAACAGTTATTGTTTTGTTTTGTTATATATTTGCTATTGCAGGTCAAAGAAGAAGCTCAAAACCCAGCACTATATGCTTACAAGAATGTAAGTATTGTTTTGCTAACACAATTATAAAACCTTTAATGCAAATTATATTTTACTTATAAATTAGTTAACTAACTTTATTTTACACTATACTAAGTTAAAAATTCTGAATTTACCCAAAGGCCCTGAAACAGTAAGGTAATAATCTGCTACCATGAAACTTTCATAGAGGACATAGAAAACAAATCTTGTCTGACAGACTGTCCCAGGCAAGTTAAATTCTTGACAAACAGTTTAACAATTAATTTTACCTAAATTTTTTCAGCTATTCAGCAGTGATCCACAACTTCTTATCCCAAAGGAAAATAAAGAACTTCGTCAAGTAAGTGACCTTAGTTTAATTAATTTACTAATATGCTTGAAAATTGTATTTCTCTTCATAAAGTCTTTACTTTTAGAACCTCTAGACATGTTTTTGCAGTGGAACTTGTTTGCACCTGAAAACGATACAGTTTATCTGAAGAACCACAGCCCGTTGGCCATTGTTGAAGTTTGTAAAAAGAATACCATTTTGCAAGCATAACAATGTTTTGGAAGTATAATAATACTGAATTCAGAACATTTTGATTTTATGCTATATTAAAGTACGGTCAATCACAAATCCCCAAGTTATAAACATACAGTAGAACTCCAACTATTTGAACCCCAATTATCCAAACTCAAACTATCCGAATTGCAAATTATCTGGATTGCTTACAGAAATAATTTGAAAACTTAAAACCACAGTAATAAGAATCGTTATTAAAGCTCACAGAAGCCGTGATAGCGGCAAAATCCAAAACCTGTCTCGGGATCGTGTTGACACCATCATCGTCTCCCGAGATCACGGTAACATCCCCATATTGTTTTTGTGAGCGCGGCAAAATGATAAATATATCCTACAGCTGTGTTGACAACATCATTGTCTCCCGCGACTACAGTAACTTTTTTTTGTTTTTTTGCGATTGTGGCAAAATGGTAAATATCCAGAAAGTTATGTTGACACCATTGTTGTCTCCCGCGGTCATGGAAATGATAATCGTACTCTTCAATTGCGGTGAAAGCGTAAATTTTCCGATCACAAAATCGTCACAGATGCGTTCTGCGATTGCAATAGTGTTATAAATTAAAAAGGAATATTTATTTGATTTAAATTAGCCTATAAGGAAATCCAGAAGAAACATATTTAGTTAGTATTTGCAAGAGGCAACATGATTTGGCGGAAGCAAAGTCTTACATTAGTTATTACAATAGTACAATAGATTCCAGTGACCAATAAGAACCCCCACTACTTTTGACCACTCAGAAATCGACAGTCTACATTAGATGACAGGTACGTTTAGACGTTGTTTCCCCCTGTTCATTTTTCTATCATATTTTAGTGCAGCCATAAGCCTAGTTTTCATATTAAACATATGTTTAACTATTTCTCAAGCTATAACAAATAGTAAAACCTCTGCATGACTCCGCCTATTTTCTTTAAAAACTCTGAATTTTAGTAAAATTCTAATTATCTGAATTTTCGATTATTCGCATGGGGTCTGGTCCCAATTGATTCGGATTAATGGAGTTCTACTGTTAGTTGTACCTCTAATAATTAATTATAACTAAAATGTTTTCAATGTGAAAAATTAAATCTATCTATTTTTTTACTTTTTTCTGTTTTAGCGAATTTCCCATATAGGGAATAAGCTATTACCGTAGGTCTCATGGTAAGACCTAGACCCGGGACCGATTTACTTTTTCGTTTTGAGGTCCCCAGAGGCCAAAAACACCATCCGTTCAAATTCATATATATATATATATATATTTATATATATATATATATATATATATATTTATATATGTGTCCGTTAGCGCGATAACTCGAGCAAAATTGATCCGATTTTGATGAAATTTGGTACAAACGTGTAAACCTACATTTATTCGAACGAGTTCGCAAACCAGCATAATCGGACCATGGGATCAGGGGTTTATGGGGGGTTTTATGGGGTAAAAATGGGTTTTTCTCATTTTTGACCCCAAAAACTTTAAATTTCTAAATTTCTCTCTAGACCATTTTGAAGAGCTTAAAAAAACAAATAATTTAGTATATTGAAGTTTTTTTAAATGTTCATTGACTACGGAGAAAATTAAAGAAATTGTAAATTTAAAATTCCCATGTTATTCTTATGGAGAATAAATAAACTGTTCTAGTTTGCTTGTTTATGGATATATTTTAATCAAATTTGGCAATTTGGCTTATTTCATACTAAGCTATCAATATTTCAATTGAAAAAAACACACCTCAACATCTTTCCCGTAGCAGCAAACCTAACTACTCACTAAAATTAATGTTATTTAAATAGGAAATAAATCTGAAAATTTATAGGGAATATTTTAGTAGAAATCGAGCCTGGTGAATGGAAATTCGCTTAGTATGCAGGTTTGCTGCGACGGGGGTATTTGTTGAATGAATTGTTATTGTAGCTGTGTGTTATGGTGCTAGAATAGAAAATACCTTTACGAGGAAACTGGCATAGTCTTAAAAAACGAATTGATTTCACTTTTCCCTTCTTCAGACAATTTATCCTCTTGAATCTCCAAAATAAAATTATTTTTGAATCTAAATTAGTTTCCAACTGTTCATATTTTATTTTGTGTGTTTACCGTCATTATCATTTTTTGTAAGGGAACAGTTCAAACCCTAAGATATGTTTGTTGATTTTGGTCTTTTTATTATCTAACGCTGGCCTTTTGTTAGATAGCCTGATGACAGCTGGCATATCTGGGTCCAGACTCAACCCCACTTGGGATCTAATAGTTAAAAACTACAATCAAAATCTAAAACCATGTGTGAACTTGCAAACTTTTGGGATCTCTGTTCAGCTCTTAGCACAATTATTATTATTGGTGTATTATGATTATGTAACATATGATTCAGAGTGGTAAACACTTCTATTTGTTATTGTGTTTGTTCCTGAAGAAGGCTAATGCCGAAATATAGAAATTTCTATAAAAGTGTGTGATAAGTTTATTTTGAAAATGATTAAGCCGTTTGGCAATTTTATGAAGAAACAATATTATTGGTGTATATGAGGGAACTCCTTACTGGGGGGAAGCATGGTACAAGATGGAAGGAATTATTATAGCTTAAGGTATATTTAAGTTCTGGTAGGCCTACTAATTACGGAAATCAAGCACTGCCGCTATGAATCTATAGCACCAATACATTTTCACTTTTAAATATACAAATTCACAGTTGTTTTTTTTTTCAACAGTTTAGTTTTTAGAATGTTGGTATAGTTATTTGCTGGTTGTTGTGATAACTAACCGACAATTCCTCAGTCTTAGCCATGACAAACTGATTTGAGATAAAGTTAATAATTTTGGAAATTCAAGTAATATGTTATGATGTTTCAGAATGGACCTGATAGTTTTGGGACTGGTGGTCTACCACCTCACTATCTCAATTCTCCTGTGAAGCCTGTGAGTATTTAACTATATTACCTTAGTAAGTAGGCTATGTATAGTATAACATTTGATTAATGTTTTGTAATACTGCTCAAAGTATATTTCTTATTCTAAAAAAAAAAAATAGTTTTTGTTACAACCTAAATATTCTAAGTAAAGCTTAAAATAGGGGAGCGAGCTGGTCTAGTGGTTAGAGCGCGGGACTTCAGTCCCTGAGGTCTCGGGTTCAAATCCCACCAAATCACCAATGGATTTGATGGATAATGCCGTAACCCCTAGGCCTAGCCTGAAGTAATGTGATAAACAATCCCAGGCTGGTGCCTAGCGTCTTAGAAAAAAAAGAAAGAAAAAAACCTAAAATTGTTCCAGAAGCTTCAAATAAGATATTCTATTTTTCATCCCGGTAAGTGTTTTTTTTATTCACTTTAAAAAGACATTATGAGTAAAGTTTTTTAGACAAAAATCAAAAAGAATAATAAGTCTTCTCCTGGTTAAGTTTTGAAGTATTATTCAAAACTCACTTGAATTCTTTCAGAATATTTAACTTAATACATGGTGATTGGTACTCAGCGTGACGATAATTGTTTGGTTGTAAGTACAAAGTAAATGAAGTGTGATGATGCATATTAGAGGTCCAAGTCTAAAAATTGGCTTCCCAAAGAACTATTTTAAGTTTTAAAAAAATAGCCCTGTTTTTAAACTTAATACAGCAATTTCTCAATTACCTGTAAAAAGATTTGACTAGATAATGTCATTTTTGTGTTGTACATTAAATTTTGAATAAGAGTAATAGAAAATGATGGTGTTTGATAATATTTTTAAGATATTGGTCTATTGCATTTTTCTACACCCTGTATACAAGAAGGTGGCCAAACATGATAAAAACTGTGCCATTTCATAAGCTTTCCAACCACATGCTACACTATTGAGCTTTAGGTCTGCTTATGTACTACAAAACATGGTGTCTTTAACATTTAAAACATAGAAAGTCATCAAAAAACATGAAAGTAACATAAAACATGTATTATGCAAAACTTGATTTTTTGTTTCAGTTTGAACAGTAAAAACAGTAAAAAAGTGCCCTGTTTTCTAGTATTCAAACGACTAAAACAAACAAAAACATATCTAAACCTCAATAGTGTAGCATATGGTTGGAAATGGAAACAGAAAGCTTATAAAATGGTACAGTTTTTAACATATTTGGCTACTTTCTTGTATACAGGGTGTAGAAAAATGCAAAAGACCAATGTTTTTTAATTTTTTATCAAACACGTTAATTTTTTAATCTATTAACAATGGAGTTTTTACTACTGATCCTCCGTCATGTTCTATTATTCTTATTCAAAATTTAATGTAGAACACGAAAATTACATTGTCTACTCAAATCTTTTTACAGGTAATTGAGAAATTGCTTTATTAAGTTTAAAAACATGGTTATTTTTGAAAAAACTCAAAATAATTCTTTGGGAAGCCAATTTTTAGACTTGGAACCTCTAATATGCATCATCACACTTCATTTACTTTTTACTTACACCAAACAATTTTTGTCACACTGAGTACCAATGACCCTTTGTGTTGCTTTTAAAACAATTTATAACTGTTTCAGTTGTTTGGGAAAGAGATTCCTGTAGTTGAAAAAGATGTAAGTAAAAAAATCAACTAGTATTTTCAAAATTTTATATTGTAGCAATTGGTTACTTGTTGGGGGCCTTACTCAGGTCAGGTCGGACGAAATATTTGAGCCTAAAGGTCTCTGTTTGCTGAGGAGATCATAATACTAAATTCTAAATTTGGGTTATGCAATATTGTAAATTATCTCCCCTATTGCACCGTGATATCTTGGAACATCTTCTGTCGTAACAACAAAGTCAGGAACAATTTCCGTGGTTACAGTGTAATTGGGAACATCTTTTGCTGTCATGGAGAATTTAAGAGCATCTGCGGTCACGGTTATATCATAAACATTTTCCACGATCACGGCAAGATCATCATGATCCCGACAAAACTTTGAACATCACCTGCGGTCACTGCATAGTTGTCAATCTCCCATCACGCATCTCCTCAGACGCTTTCTTGCAATTGCAAATAGAAAAAGCTTGGCTCAGATTGATTCGATCCGAGCTTAGCCCAAAATTTATTTTTAGCCCAAACCAACCACTGGGGCTAACTGTTGTCCCAACCCTACCCAAAAATAATGGGGACTCGCAGTCGCAGATCCCTACTACCAAATACTTATACAGTATAAAACTTTTTACTTTAAACAACCTATAGCAACAATAACAATATTACTAACCTTTTAATACACCACTCCCTAATCTTTAGACAAAAATTTAAAATGCTTTTTAGCAAATTTCCCATATAGGGAATAAGCTATTACCGTGGGTCTCATGATAAGACCTGTACCTGGGACAGATTTACTTTTTAGTTTTGAGGTCCCAAGAGGCTAAAAACACCCTCTGTTCAAATTCATATAGCCTATAACTCGAGAGAAACCAATCCGATTCTGATGAAATTTGGTCCAAATTTTATTAGAACAACTTCACGGACTAGCATGATCAGATTAGTGGAATGGGGGTTTATGGGGTTAAAAATTTGTGTTTCCTATTTTAGACCAAAAAAATTGCAATATCTTTCCAAACCATTTTGTAGAGCTTAAAGAAAGAAATAAGTTAGTACAGTAGACTCCCTCTTATCCGACTCCTCGGGACTGAGGCCAGTCCGGATAACAGTTTTTCCAATTAAACTGACGTCCCCAAAAACTGGTTAAAATGGACCGTTTACTGTGATATTTGACTTAAATTTAGGAGAGCATTGTTTTTAGACACGTGATCACTGGACTCAAATCTCTCCCACGAGAACAGTTGTTTTTTCAGTTCCGCCCACTTCCTGCCGATCTTGTCCGGTTAAACTAATGTGCTGACAAAAATTGTCCGGTTAAAGAGATGTCATTTCCGCCGAGTGTAGTCCAGTTAAACAGATGTCCGGTTAAAAGGTGTCCGGATAAGATGGAGTCTACTGTATGTTGAGGCGTTGTATGCCCAACAGTTACGGAGAATATTTAAAAAGGTGTAAATTAAAAATTATTATGTTATTGTTGTGGAGAATAAATAAACTGCTTTAAGTTGCTTGTTTGTAAATATATTTTAGTCAAATTTGCCAATGTTGTTTATTTAATAATAAGCTATCAACATTTCAATAATAAAACAGGCCTCAATACGTTTCTTGTAGCACCAAACCTAAGTACTCATTAAAGTTAATGTTACTTACATAGAAAATACAGCTGACAATAAATTTTAAGTGAATATTTTAGTGGAAATCAAGCCAGGCAATTGGAAATTTGCTTAGTCTGCGGTTTGCTGCCGCAGGGTATTAATATTCAGTATGTGTGAATAAAAATAATTATACTCACATGAACATACATCTGTGTAGAATATCCTAGTCATTAACTAGTCCTGTAACTTTAAGTTTGATTAGAAAAGTTGTTAAATCAACCTTTAAGAAATTAATTCACCTTTTTAAACCAGTAAATCATGGGTATTCTTAGGTCACAATTTCCACTGGATGCAAACCCAATTAATACACTTATATATTTTTTCATTTCAGTCTATTGAACATAAACTACATTCCAGTGCAAAAGATTATGTAAGTATTTCACAGTTTTTTAAGAATAATCTCCCTGTAAGCAAATTAAAGGTGTTAAGCAAAAAATTTAATTTTACGGGCAAATCCAAACTCCTTCTACCCCTTCATACATATTACATTTAAACATTTTTCCATAAACATTAGTAAACCAACTCAAATATAAGTGGACCTCCTTTCCACAGAAACCTGACTTGGCGGGAGCGTCAATTCCCTCCACATTGTTATTGGCTACTATGATGAGACTAATTGCCGCCTAATAGTGGGAAACCGCTAGAAAAGTAGTAGGGAAAGTAAATATAGGTGTAATACAATGCAAATAATAATCTTAGTTGTATGGCTATTATTTTACGTTGCTAAAATTCAATAAAACCCTCTTTGGTTGATAAAATTTTTATAGAGAGCTGTAAATATGTAGATTTTTTGTTTCTATATTTCCTAGTAAAAGGATTGGCCTGTTGCACAAAGCACAATTTCAGGAGGTCCTTTACTACCCAGCTAGTCATTTTTAACTTTTCAAGGTAAAATGTTAATTTATTGCACATTTACCCACGAGGTTTAAATAAAAATAGTCTGTAATGCACATTGTCCGCTATACTTGTATCTTCAGTGTAGATTCTTTTTTTCAGGTTGGGAAACACAAAGAAGCTTTGAATCCATTTCTAATCAACTTTCCTAATGTAAGTTGTTTCAGTTTACTAAAATATACATTTCCTGATTAATAGAACAAATTGTTTTATAAAAAAAAAAACACTTGTCTTCTTATGTTTCATTTGCAAACCTTTTCAATGATATTGGTTCAAACGTAACTATCTAAAATGTTATAAGTTTTATTTTAAAACTTTATTGTGTTAAGTTTATTTTTTTAAATTACATTTTTTAAATAAAAGTTTTTGTCAGGTGACAAACCATTTTAAATTACACTAAAACTCTTTTAATTCCACCCTGTTAAACCAAAACCATCCAAAAAATTTAAATCAATTGGAAAATTACCTTAGACAGCAGGAATTGTCCGCCGTGGTGTAAGTAGTTAGTCCAGCTTGGCCTACAGAACGGAACAGAGGAAGACATATACCTCACACAGTGAGAACAACATTATATTGTTTTAAGAAATAGATTTTGTGTCTACAGCAGCTAAAATAATTATAAATCTACTGATGTGGAGCTCTTGAATAGACATAGCCTTTAAATTCCTACCATTGATTAAACAAAAATAGTAGCTTATCCAAAACCGCTTTCCTTTTTTTTGGGTTAATTGGGGTTTTTACTGTTATATAGGATAATATTTTAGTTATTTTTTACGTTCATAATGTTAGCCTCCGAGTCACTGTAGTTAATTAATAAATTAGTTAATAACTCACTTTAGTTAATAAATGGTTTAAATACCTTAACTGTCAGGTGATTCTTGTAGTAGTAATACACTACTGCAGTTTCAGCCCTCAGAGGGCTTTCTTCATGTGTCAAAGGAAGTCAAAAGTTTTCATTCATACGAAATCGTCACATTGAAACTACGAGAACAAAAAAACGGACAGGAACACAAACATAAAAACGAATACACTTGTAAGAGTCACAAACATTTTTCATTGGTACCGGCATTGATGCGCGATGCGTGCGGGGAGCTAGTTTTATATTCGTGATTGTGTCCATTTTTTTTATCTCATAATTTCATCTAAGCATAGATTATTCCATCGAGTATAAAGTGTGTGGTGTAATCAGATTTCCGTAGTTGAAGAATCACACAGCAGCTTAAATTCACTGTGAATTGCCTACTTACATGGTCCAAACGTTAGGAGTAAAGGCGAAGTCCGCCAATGGGTTCATTTAAAAAAAATGGAATCATCTCCACCCTCCGGTAACGATCCTGTCCAAAAAAGTTTCTCCTTCAACGTCTTATTGAATGAGAACGTCTATGGCCGAACTCATTCTTTTCGTTTTGTGATCGTCATTAAACACTTTAGGGATCCAACGGGCACAAAACTTGTGATAGCCAAGTTGTCAGTCACTTCGAGAAATTTCAAGGAAATGATCGGAAAGTTGTGATATTCTACAGCGCCGGTTCTCACGAATATTCTCGTTCACCAAATCATCAGTAACGAGATATGGCCTACCACTCTGATGATCTTTATAATGAACGTTCGTCCTTTCTTTTTTTACAATCCCATTGACGGACTACACATTCACTCATAACGTTTCGGCCCAAAATTCACGATGAATTTCAGCTGCTAAGTGATTCTTCGACTACAGAAATCTGACTACACCTCGCACAGACTTGGCGGAGTAATCTATGGCGGCGCGTGTTTTTAGGTTATAGCAACAGAATGTGCGATTGTACGATGCTCTCTCTAGCACAGCTAGAAGCGTACTGAACAGCTGCGCTTGCCGATGTGAGACTGGTGCTAACTCCATAATTCCTACTTAGCGCACCACACAGCCCAGGCGACAGTTACTTCGTGGATGACCCTCCTACCAATAGGTCTTGTGATATTAAACTCAAAGCCAGAGATGTGCTCTTAAAGATTCAAGTGCCTACGAGGATAACAAACTTAACATTTTTTCTGTTCAGAATAATTAATTCCCTGAGAGGCATAACGTTTTCATGTAAAGCATATTGTAGTATTTGAATTTTTTTGCTTAGAATGTTTAAAGTTAATTTATTTTTTTTACCTCGGTCCTAGCTGTAATTTATCAATGTGGTTATAATTAATGAAAATGACTACAGGTTTAGCCAATATTAATACCATTAAACCAAAGCACTATATTCATTCAATGTTCTGTTGACACTAAAATCTATTCCATACATACTAAATGCAATAACAATACACAATAATGTTATCACTGTTCTAAAGGTAGAGAGGCAGAAAGAAAACCTGGATCCTCTCTTGTCACAGCATCAAAATGTGAGTAATGATTAAAGTTTTCAGTAAGCTACTTCCTGAAAAATCCTCATTAAATTTGATCAAAGGATTAATTTTAGGGGTGTGCAAGTAGTAAATTTAAGAGTCAATGTACCTAAAACAATGTGAGAAACACTGTGACTTGACAACAATAGATAACAAAAATACGCTGTTTACTTGGCCACTAAAATCAAATTCACTACTCTAATATGCCCAAGCAATTCTTACCTCTTTCCTCAGATTTAACAATTTTATTTCAGTAAATATTAATGTCAGTTTACGTTTACATTGACTTAGTTTGCAATTAATTGTGCTGATATGGACAACTTGTTTGCAATTTCCTCCAACAGAATGAACACCAACTTAGTATCCATTAATAGTTTCCCTCAATTTCAAATTTAGATTTCAATCATATTTATTCATAAGTATTATTTGTTACTAGCTTATTTTGTATTTGTACTTGGCAGTGCAAAACATATCAAACTCTCTTTGTTGTTCTCTGTCTTAGTCTTGGTTAGTAACAAACTGTCTCATTCATCCTTACCTTGGTGTGTCAGTGTTTAGAAAGTCATAAAGTTGAAAAATCGGTGATATCCAAGACATTGAAGCGAAGCTGATGGATAATTTTACCATCCAAATATGTAGTTTGACACGCATATTTAGTTGAGCTGTTAGGTAATGTAGTAGCACAATATTTTAATACTTTTTATTGTTACAGATGTTTACGGCGAATTACAGTAATAATCATAAAAAGTCATGTATTAGTCAATATATCTTTATTTACATAGTCAGTTTTTATTGAAATAATTCTTTCCTTTACAGATGGGAAAAGATTCAGAAGCATTAAATCCACATCTTCTTCAGTTGACTAATGTAAGTTTAAATAGTAGGCTATGTTTCGTTACAGTGTTGAATAATTAGTAGTGTATGATAATGGATCGTCAAATTCTCTATCTAGTCAAGAAAATTAATTGTCTGGTTTAAGCCAAAAGCAGCCTTTTTTCTTAAATGTTTTTTTTTACCATAGTTGTGGTGTTAATCATCTGGACACCATATCCAGTACCGTTGCTGAAGAAGTGGTTGCTCAACAATTTCAAGAAACGAACATTATTTTTTTTTACAAAAAAAAGTGTCAAACAAAATATTTAATAATTCTCTTAGCCTTTAAAAAGAAGTAAAATTTGGTAGAGGGCTTGACATTGTTTTACAGAAATACTAGATTTTCATAAAAAATTTCAATTAATTTAATTCAAAGTTTTTTTCAGGTCTTTGGAGCTAACAACAATCAGATTCACAAGGTAAGTATTTTTTGTCTTTGGAAATTAAATTATACTTGTGGCTTGTAGGAACATAAGTCCCTAAATGGCTCAAATGTATAACAAATTATTGTAATATTTAAACAAACTCAGAATCAAATTATCTATGTGTCAGGATAGATATCCGAGTACAACATATCTTTTGTGTGAAACAGTTTGTTGTTTGTTGTTATTGTTTGATTTTGTTGCTGTTATTTTCAATAAATAATTTGAACCAATCCAGAGGTTTAACTCGGCTAGCAAACTGTTTGTGAATAAATATTGTTTGGTCTTTTGGTTAATGATGATAAAAAGGCTTCTCTGATTGAAATATCAGGAATCGTCTTCGTCACATATGAAAAGGCAAATAAAGGTGGGTTAAGATAAGCTTAGTTATCGGTCAAAACCGCTAAATTAGCACTCCGACGACTCCGACCCAGTTATTATTTCTAAGTTTATGCTCCTTTTGTAAAGGTTTAATAAAATTAGTGTATAGTAAAGGCATCCCATTGGATAAATTTATCGCTAGATTTGTTTCTGTTCAACATAAAAAAAAACTACTATTACCCTGGTGTAAGATTATGGGGTGGTATTCCTCCTAAAGATGCGATTGATTTGACATATTCTATCAAAAAAGGGCTAAATTAACGACTGATTCCTAACTATTTAGCGACTGGTTAGTGTTCCATTACCCAGTTATCGAAACCAATCACGAAATTACTTTTCATCAGCATCTTCGACATGCATATTTTTGGTTAGTTTTAAGAAACGGAAATTACTTCTAGGTTTTACTGATATGGATGATCCTTTTGCCACCGTGCATGCTAGGCTATATTTTTTTAACCTTTTTTGCTACCTGGTTAAAATATCCTCCAAACAATATTGTTTTTTTCACCCATTGGAACTTGTCATGGTACTTACTTAATTAACAAATATATTCCCTGTACAAACCTATTTCATCTTTATTCCCAGGTTGGTTTCTAAGAGTAACCATTGAGGTATTCCATTTCTTACAAAATAGTGGTGAAGCAAGTAGTAAAGGCTAGCATTGCAGAGTGTGGGACGCTTTAAGGGAATTTAGATTAATGTATCTAAAATACTAAAATGCTATTGGGAAGGAAGGAAACCAGGTCCACGACGTAGGAAGTGGTGAAGCAAGTAATAAAGGCTAGCAGTGCAGAGTGTGGGACGCTTTAAGTGAATTTAGATTAATGTATCTAAACTATTAAATAGCTATGGGAAGGAAGGGAAAAAGGTCCATGGCGTAGGAGGTGGTGAAGGAAATAGTTAAGGCTAGCAGTGTGGAGTGTGGGAACGCTTTGGGGCAGTTAGATTGACGTATCTAAAATACTAAAATCCTATGGGAAAGAAGGGAAACAGGTACATGACTTAGGAAGTGATGAAGGAAGTAAGACAGGCCAGCAGTGCGGTACCGTATGTGGGAACCGTCTGTGGCAGTTAGATTAACGTATCTGCAATCTTAAAATGCTCTAGGAAGGGAGGGAAACAGGTCCACGACGTAAATAGTGGTGAAGGAAGTAGTAAAGGCTAAAGGTGCTGAGTGTGGAAACTCTTTGTGGCAGTTAGATTAATGTATCCGTATCGGCAATCCTAAAATGCTATGGGAAGGGAGGGAAACAGGTCCACGACATAAGAAGTGGTGAAAGAAGTAGTATAGGTTAGCAGTGCAGAGTGTGGGAACATGTGTATTTTGTATTATTTATATCATCTATATTTTTTTTCATTTATTACTTTAAAAACCGTGAAACATGATTGCTCTGCTCAACTGGCTTTCACTGATCTGAAAGCAATCCTAGTTTCATGTTAAACTTTTTTTTTAAACAACAACAACCTTCAAATTTGAAGAAAAAACTTCATTATTTTTTCAGCCATTCTAAGTTAAATTTCTTTGATTTGAGCCATCTCCTATGATTCTACTACTTATCATATGCTTAACTAATTTATTTAAAAACAAGCAGAGTACCCGTCCTTCGTACGGGGTCGGCATATAAGTATAAAACGCTTATTGCAGTTATACTCCAGCTTTGCATTTGCAATGGGAGAGGACAAAGTTCGATAAAATTTGCTTATACGGTAAAATTTACGGTATACCACAGTATTACACATCTACCATAGCCATAATCTTCTACCACTTCATCTAAACAATAGAGAAAAATAACTTATTAAAAGTTTGCAAAACATCACAAATTATTCATGAAATTAAAAACAAACATAACTGTAAACAATCCTACTTTGACAGTTCTCACTGCGTATCCAAGTTTTTGTTGCTGCTTGGTTCAAATTAGCTGTTTTCATAAACGCAAAATAAAAAACAATAGTGCTGCACCCTGTTGGTAAATCTTATAATTTTTTAATGCTTTTGTATATCATAGAACCACCTTTTTTAGTTGAAACAGCTGACTAAATTCTTTAGTTCCCTTTAAATATACAACATAAGGTCATAAGGCTAACATAAGGTTCATAAGGCTCATAAGGTTAACATGGGGACTGCAGAGCCATTGGGGTGGAGCTCGAAAGGATTTTTGAGAAAAGAATATGCCTATATGTTAATCGGAAATGTGAGCTATCAACATGCCAAATTTCAGCCCAATCCGTCCAGTCGTTAATGCGTAATTGAACTTCAAACAAACAAACACACACACTTTCACATTATTTATAATATTAGTAAGATAAGATACACAAGTTTGCCAATTGCACAGTAAAATAATTGATTTCAACATTCTAAGACTTATCTAAAAAGTCTTAATTATTATAGGTAACGTTATCCCTGGTTTTATATAGTATACAGTAAACTCCAGAATTGACTGGCAAATAAATGATCCAAATGTAATATTGCTTACTGGTTTCATGGTAAATCACGATCAGCTGTGTTGAAGTAAACAAAAATCAGCAGTAATGGCTTCTAATGCTGTTCTTATGGAGAACATTTTACACTATATATCTAATTTTGTGTTAAAATTTAGGGAATTTCACTATTTTTCCCGCCGTCATGGGATTGAAACCTTTAATTTGAGCCCTCTACCGTCACTCTACGACATCCCAGTCGCCCACAATATTGACGCAAAGAATCTGCTTACGTAATCAATATATAGATGTGGTGCACCCACTAAAATTTAAAATTATTTTTATAGATGTTTTTACGAGTATTATTGTATGGGTTTTAACAGAGCTAATATGATTGTATATAATTGTATCAACTTAACCTTGGTTAAGACCTTGGCTAACCTTGATAAAATCACATTTAGCATAATGTTTTACAACAAAACAGTTACAGATAAAAAAAAAATATAAGAGTACAATTTTTATACAAACAGTTACTGTTTGAATGAAAACTGTACCCACGTTTGAGTAAGTGTAATGCATTATGGGAAAGCTAAGATGGTAGCAAAAATGTCAATTGTTAAAATAAACTTAAAAACTATCTTCCATAAAACAATGTTTGGAGCTTGCTAGTCTTGCTACTAACAAGTACCAGCCATTAACCAATGTTTTACACACAAAGAAGGGAAAAAGAAATTTCAAAAACTGTAATCTATCAGGAATTGTTTTTCCAAAAATTCCTGCACTACATTTAAGCCCCATGGGGTCTGAAATCCTAGGAATTTGGCTCCATGTAGGCCTGAATTTTTTATTAGAAAATGATTTCTTATTAAGTTTAATTTTCTGTTCTCAGGTTCCATTGGAGAAAGGGGAAATCAACCCTGTGTTCATCAACAGTCAAAAGGTACTTGTACCGCCCTCAATTGAGAATATTAAGATTTTTCAAAGAACTAAAATTATATTAGATTAGGTACCTTTGTTTTTGTTGCCAGTGTTTTGATTAGGAAAGATGTTTATGTCACCGTGTGTATTTCAACAGCTTGAGTGGCATCCTTAGGACCCTTCTTAAGTTTTCTTTTTTATCACTAACGTTATAGTCTATATTTAAACAAGCGTGGTCACTAGTATCGCGGTCAGGTGGATTGGACAACTAGACGGGACATGCGTTGAGTCACGACAGGAGGTCTTTCTTCCTCCCTTTCTTATCTTAGACCAAGGGTGTTGGCATTTCGACCGTTTGACGGTTGAGGGTGGTTTGGATTTCCTTTAAAGCATCCGCCCGACCATAAACCAGTTCTAATTTAATTCAAGACGTTTTGTTACAAGTGCAGTTGAAAAACAAAACCAAAATTTTATTGTGTCAGTTAGTTCAGTTTATAGATTGAAGATAACAATATTTTGTATTGTTGAATGGCAATTACATTGCTTATGACATAATGAAAACTGAAAACCTTTGCTATGAAACTGAAAAACTGATTAATCTTATTTATTTAGTAGATTACTTAAGTGAATTATTAGGGATATCAAGAGTACCAGTAACAGTTGTTTCAATTTCAAAATTAATATAATATATTAATTTCATATTCACAATTTTGCACCTATTCTTTTACACTATGTATATTATTTTATTCTTTAACATCTAAATAAAGGGGCTTAAATTAGTTTTGAAATAGCACGTTGGTACCCTCTGCGCAATAGGTTCTGTAATTCTAATTTAACATTTTTTACAGATTTTATAGTCAGTTTTATCTGCCTGCCACAAACCTTTTAGTCATACATGTTGACTCAGTGGCACTTACCACTAACATTATTTTCATTTGAAATTTAACTTTATTTTTTGCAGGGATACACTGAAGGAGAAAAAAAAGCTGTTTTATCAAGGTATAAAAATGTAAGTGTAATGCCATTAGTATGAGGTAACTGTACTGTCATAATAATTCAAATACCCCCGTCAAAGCAAACCTGCATACTAAGCGAATTCCCATTTGCCTGAATTGATTTCAAATTAAATCTATTTAAATAACTAGGTTCAACAATTACCTAGGTTTGCTGCTTCAGGGAGGCTAATAAAGTATGGTTTTTAGTAAAATTTTAGTAGCTTACTATAAAATAAATAAATTAGCCAAGTTTGATCAAGCAAACTACAACATTTTACAATATTTTCCATAAGAATATCATTTGAATTTAAAATTTGCATTTTTTTTTATTTTCTCCGTAACTAATAACCGTACAAAAACACTTTGGTATACTAAATTATTTGTTTTTTTAAGATTCTTAAATGGTCTAGAGATAAATTGGGAAATTTTGTAATTTGAGGGTAAAAAATGAGAAAACCCATTTTTTCCCCCCTGTAAAACCCTGTTCCCATGGTCTGATCATGCTGGTTCGCAAACTCATTTAACTTTAACCCACCTTACATCTTCAAACCAAATTTTATCAAAATTGGAGAAAAATTACTCAGGTTATCGTGGTCACGGATGTATGTATAAATAAATATATATACATACCGTATATAAAAATTTCAACGAATAGTGTTTTTAGCCTCTAGGGACATCAAAATGAAAAAGTATATCCCTCCCGGCTCCAGGTCTTACCATGCCACCTACGGTAATAGCTACTTACCTATAGGGAAATTCGCTAAAAGAGCTTATCTGCAGTGCTGGAATGGTAAGAGAATTTACTTAAGGGATTGTATTGATGAAAATTTGATTTTTTACTGGTTACTAAGTGAACTAGCGTCTCAGGGTCCTGGCCAGAAACCGATGAGAACCTCTTCTGCGAAGGAGTGGGGGATTGTGGGAGAGCCCCTCTTGTTGATTTAAGAAAAATTATAAAATCAACTTTATAATTTTCAATTATAAAACCCCCACCCCATAACCTAACCTAACCAACCAAACTTTCTGATAATAGAAAACATATATTACAGTAGATTCCCTCTTATCCGGACTCCTTGGGACCAAGGCCAGTCCGGATAAAGGTTTTACCGGTTTAACTGATGTCCCCAAAAACTTGTTAAAATGGACCGTTTAAATGCATGACTTAAATTGATGAGAGCATTGTATTTAGACACGTGATCACTGGTCTCAAATCTTTCCCATGAGAACAATCGTTTCAGTACCGCCCACTTCCTACCGATCGAGTCCGGTTAAACTTATGTGCTGATAACAATTGTCCGGTTAAAGAGATGTAATTTCCGCCGAGTATAATCCGGTTAAAAGGTGTCCGGATAAAAGGGAGTCTACTGTAGATAAAAATCGAATAAAGGTTTACTAATAAAAAAAAATATTGATCATAAAATAAAATTATAAATGCCTCAAATTCTAAAAAAAGATGTACAGTGTAGAAGTAGTAATCACATTGACAAAAAGGTTATGTCACCGGTGGGACTCGATCTGGCCCGAACCATGGTATCCACTGCGCCATGAACACCAATGGCTGAACTTCGTATCGTTGCGGTAATTGTGTTCCCTAAAGAGAAGAGAGTGACGTCACGCCCCCCACTCCTTTGAAGAAGAGGTTCTCATCGGTTTCTGACCAGGAACCTGAGACGCTATAACTAAAGTGATGGAATCAAAGTAGAATCATAGACTAAACATACTCTCGTAATAGATTTGTCAACCTTATGGATCAGCTGAAGATTATTTCAATGTTAGTTCCGTCCAGTGCCTCTAGAGGTGTGTTTTGGTTTACAATTTGTTTCTCGTTATTTCAAAACTAGTTCAACAAAATACAGTAGACTCCCTCTTATCCGGACTCCTCGGGACCGAGGCTAGTCCGAATAACGGGTTTTCCAGTTAAACCGACGTCCCAAAAAACTCGTTAAAACGGAATGGTTACTGTGATATTCTACTTAAATTTAGGAGAGCATTGTATTTAGACACGAGTTCACTGGTCTCAAATATTTCCCACGAGAACAGTCGTTTCAGTACTGCCCACTTCCTGCCGATCTAGTCCGGTTAAACCAATGTGCTGATAAACATTGTCTGGTTAAAGAGATGTCATTTCCGCCGAGTGTAGTCCGGTTAAACCGATGTCCGGTTAAAAGGTGTCCAGATAAGACTGTAATTATAAATTATAGCTTGTCCTCTGATGTTATTATCAAAAAGTAAAGCACAAAAATTAACCCAAACATTTGTTGACACTAGCGCTCAGTGACACCAACACAAACCAGTTTAAAAAAAAGAAGCTTCAGATTTTACAATGTGATGAGAGGTTTACAAGTGTTAGTCTGAGTGATGGGGTTACATTTTATAGACATTTCAAAAATTACTTTTACAATCACTTAGGTTGTGTTTATCTAAATTGTGTATTTCAGTTCTTATTATTTTTCAGCTCTTTGCCAGTGCAGCCAAGATCGCAAGAAGAAATAGAAAACAATATATACAAGTATGTAAAATAATGTGTCTGTTATAATAAGACACTTTAAAATGTGGTTACAAAAACTGAGATACTGTAGAACCAAATAAAAAATGGCCTAACTAAAATGTAACGTAAATCGCAATTTCATAAAATCATGTTTTGACATGTTTGCATTCTATTCTATTTCATAATATATTTCAAAATCGTTTTCAGACAAACTCACTCTGAACAACTACAGTTCCAAATTTTGGGTGTGATCTTAATAATTCGGTTAGTTTTAGAATGAATTCAATAACAGTATTTAGGTGAAACTTCCAAAGACGGCTTAATTTATCCAACCAAATGCCAAATGCAGCTATAGTGCAACTATTTAATCATATCAATCAATGAAATCCTCATTAAAAGTACACGCACGTAATAATGTTCAAAGCTGTACAATTTTCTAGTGGAGACTTGAGAGTTGTGACACAAGGAGAGTTACTCTAAATCAGTGTTTTCCTACCTTTTATACCACTTCACGAGAAAAAATATGTTGCGCATCACTGGGTGATAGTTATAGAGTTATCATGTTTATTATTTACAACTGTTTAACCAAACTTATCAATTTACTAGTCTTAAGTATAAAGTATGGACCTTTCCTGAAGAAAGTTTTCACAATTGATGAATGAATGTGAGGGAAGTAATGTGTGTAACTGTAAATTAAATTAAATAACTAGGCATCATCCAGGTCGGGAACTGGAGATTCTGTGTGAATCAAATTTTACTTGAGTTTTGATAACTGAGAAAAATACCGTAAATCAGTGTTGTATAAGGACTGGGAAACTTACATTTTTTAATCATCGTCACCAATGGCTTATAAACAAGGTTTCCACTCATTGACGGCGCTTCAATGACAGTTTTGTAAATTGTTAAGTAAATAATCACAACTGCAGTGGGTGATGATGGATGTTGCTGCGATCTCGGAAGATCTTTTCAATGTTGTTGTGTTCGTAACAGAGGTTTACGGATGCTATTAAACTTGCTTTTCCAAAGTGTCACTTTCGGTTTCTACTCACCGCTATGTTCTGGAATCGCTGGACCATACCGCCAATAGGCCATAGCCCATCTCTTGTTAGATAATAGATATACAGTGGAACCTCGATAGTTTGACACTTTGTGGACTTAAGGGATGTCGAACTATCGAAATGTCGAACTATAGGGAGTAAATGGAGTTTAATACACAGGAAAGTTAAAACACAAGTCTTATATAGAAATCACCCTAATTTATTAAATACAAAAAGCTTAACAATTTCACTGTTCATTAGTTAAGTGTCAAGTCAACAATAAGTTAAATGACAAATTAATGTTCAAGACAGCTCACATCACAATAGTAACCATAAATAAATATCACTTGACAAAATAGCTCAGCCCGTGTCGAACTACAAGGAGTGTCGAACTATTGAGTGTCGAACTATCAAAGGTTAACTGTACTAATAATTTTTTTTATAGAATAGGTCATCTATTATCTATTAAATAAAGAACCGTTGTCCGGATGTGAATAAAGGTTGTTTCTTCAAACTTTCACCGATATGTTTACATTAAAAGTTGTTTATATGCAATTAATCGGAAATAACTTTGATTTCTGATAACATTTTGTGAGAAAATAAAAAAACCACAGGAGATTAATAACCTTGTGACTTGATTAACGCTTTTTATTGGTTGGAAGTACTATAGTTCTTAACTAATTGTAAACGTTGGTTTTTGTTTTTGGTACTGCTACTTTTCCTTAGAACCGGTGGTTGCGAGAATCATTTTCATGACCAACACATCACTATTTTAAAACGTTTTTATTAGCTCGCTTTCTTGTCCGGTACAAATTTTGCAATCAATTTTATACTAACTTCCCGATGAGCTAGATACTTGAAACTTGAAACATAGCTCATAAACGGATGACAATACAATATTATATCATTTAATTTTTATATTTCCCTTGGGCTACGCCCCATGGGCTTATTTTTATTAATTTGCTTTCTTGTAAATTTTGATACTTCCCGATGAGCTAGAGACTTGAAACTTGAAACTTAAAATATAGCTCACAAAAGGATGACAATGCAATATTTTGTCATTTAATTTTTAGATTTCCCTTGGACTACGCCCCATGGGCTTGTTTTTATTAGCTCGCTTTCCTACAAATTTTGATATCAGTTTTAAACAAAGTTCCAAATGAGCTAGAGACTTGAAATTTGAAACATAGCTCACAAATGGATGACAATGCAAAATATATCATTTAATTTATATTTCCCTTGGGATACATCCCATGGGCTTCCAAATTGTCCATGTTTACATTTTGAAAGAATGTAAATATATCAATTAATTTAAGTCAGCTGTAAATACTTAAATTTGACAGTTCGAAGAGCAGAGGTTAAGAGGTACAGGTTATGCTCCCACTAGATTCTTTATACAAACAAACATTTCAAAATAAAGATAAACAATCTGATTGCAGATATAAAGGTGTTTGTTAATAATTTCAATTGTTATTTATTTAGTATTCTATATAGTAAACAATAAATTAAATAGATTGATATATTTATAGTTAGTAGGCAGGCTATACATTCAATCTTAATACATAATTATATGAAAAGAAACTCAAATAAACCTTAGAATTCCCACATGCCTCTGTCTCAATCTGATAAAGATGCTTGAAATAGATTTAACATCCACACACATTAAAAACTAAAAAGTACAAAATGAATATTTTTATAAATATAATATATTATATTTATATTATAATATTTATATATAATATAAATATAACTTTTATAAATAAAAAACAAAACTTGTTTAAAACTAAACGTTTTTAAACGCGCTAAAAAGTAGAAAATAATTTATGAATATTTGGAGAGTATAAATACTTGTAAGATTTAAAACGAAAAACATGGGGTGCATAATTGATAATAATACACGTTATTTCAATAGGAGAAGGTAATTGTAAATTATCTATCGCATGCACCCCACGTTTTTCGTTTTAAATCTTACAAGTATTTATACTCTCTAAATATTTATAAATTATTTTCTACTCTTTAGTGCGTTTAAAAACGTTTGGTTTTAAAAAAGTTTTTTATTTATAAATTATACAACTTGTTATCGTTGGTGTTGCACCTTATTACTTATAGTCATACTAAATTTAATTGATGTCTTATAAAAATGTTAACACATTTGAGTAAAAAATCTTTTAAGCAAACCACCATGAATTGTTTACACTTTACGTTGTTTACGTATCAATAGTTCGTGGCCTGTGAATTGTAAATTACCCACGAATACTAGAACAGACCGGTATGGATCATAATCATAAACAAATTATGTTACTGGCCCATAAGTGAACATTATTTAGCATTGATTGCTCAAATGAAAAACTCTAAACCATAAGTCGATGCTATTAGTAATAATAGCATCGGGCCAGTTACGTCATTTGTTCATGTTTATGACCCATACCGCTTTCTGTTCTAATTCGTGTAAATTACCAATTTAAATCGTCGTTAATACTTCATTTCATATAGTATGCCATATCATTTCAACACCATTTCGGGTTATCTTCGGATTAAGCAAAAATATAAATTGTTATTACAGACAGCATTATCACTGCACGTTAAGTACATACGATATGATAAAATCTGTCGACACTAACAAAGATTTTAAATACTAATTTTATACGTACTTTGCTTTGGTTAAAGCGTAGCAAATGCCCTAATTCAATTCTGTATATTTGTGTGTGTCTGTTCGTGACGCATTAATGTCCTTATTTCTCAGTGTTTCGTAGAAAAGACAAGAGCACCTTTGTTAATACAAATTTTAACCGGATTAAAGTGTGCGATGGTGAGGTTGTGGTAATATTATAACTTCCTTTAACCAGTGTGCAAAGTAGCTTTCAATTATAGGCCTGCTTTAGGGCTATGCCTCATATATCTATAAAGCTGCTTTTTTTTGCAAAGCATTTGTTTTGGCTTGAAACGGTCAGATATTGTATTTGCGAAGGTTTATATTTATTCCTATAATAGTTTTGCCAGCATAGGTATCTAGAAAAATGCACACTTAATACCAACTGGTGGGCAAACCAACTGCTGTTCTGAATATAAGAAGGTTTAAACTGACTACAAGATCCCCGTCCGTAGAACGGGCACACATAGCTAGTTATTACATAATCATACAAATATACAACCCACAAGGGTTCATGGGACAGAAGTCATATAACCAATGGAAAAGCTTTGTGATAATACCATGACCTCTTGGATTGGAGCCCACGTTTTTCTGTAGATGCATCTACCTAAAATGCAAACAAAAGTCATAGTCTTGAGTCTTGATACAGTTTTCTAATTAATTATTTTTTTATATATACATATTTTGTTTTCCTTGCAGAAGAGCTTGGATGGGGCCCCAGACAAAGATCGCATGTCCCTCATTGCTAGAGTGAAAAGAGACATCAAAGAGGTAAGAATACAACTTCAGCAAAGTGTTGGGTTGTTTGAAAATGTATAAACAGGTCAATTATTATCAGTTTATTGGATCCTTTTAAGTTACACATAGAAATGGGATGTAGATGGCCCTTTTAAAAAACACAGATAATAGTTAATTACGCAGAGCTGACCTTATGCACGTGCGTATACCCAGTTGGGTGACCTTGGGCTTGTTGCAAAATAATAAAAGTTGTTAAAATTAAAAGTCTGATAATTTTAGGAATTTTAGGAGTTTTTAGAAATTTTTTTATATTTACCGTCTTGTTAGTACAAGCGTAAATATATGTTTTAAGTGTTATAAGATGTTTCTTTTATTTATTTTCCATAGATTTAATAACACGTACAATGCTGCTCAAGAAGTTATTTATAAAAATGACATCCTATTATTAAAATGTGTAGTCCTGTAGAAATTTTGCTAATTACTTTTTGAACATGACCATCCCAACTCAAATTATTATCAACTTCTATCCCAAAAAATTTTGTGACATTTATACTATTTATTTCTATATTATTAATGGTTGGTTATACTTATGGTAGGTTTTTCTTTGTTCTGTGCTGTTGAAAAACCATTTTGTTAGTTTTCTCCTTGTTCAAAAATATTGTAAGGGATGATTTCACTGGGCTCCACACCACCAAAGACCGGCTCTGTTATCCTGTACATCTTTAATTTTGGTTAGGGATTCAAACTTTAGCCAATATCATAAAACATATAACACACATATTTAACAATAATTGTTTATCAATATAAATAAAATTAGAGTTTTGTCTGTACATTGCTCAGAATTATATATTTTTAGGTTATTTTTATGTCTTATACATTAAATAAGCAGAAACGAGTCTTATCTCAATTTCTGTCTGTCTGTCTGTCTATCTGTCTTTCCCTCTGTCTGTAACACTCAAGATGGCATTTTACGCTATCTTCTCCTGGAAAATGAGAGTACGGTACCTAGTAATCTTAATGTATTCACTGGATTGGCGAGATTGTCTTTAGCCATTAAAATATGGCCTCACTAAGTATTAAAATAAATTAATAAATTTAAATATAAATTTGTAAATAATATTACGAACGTTCAAAAATGTAGTTTTGTGCAATTTATGTCAAGTTTTCGTCCAATTTTTATTGCATAATCATCTATGAAATAACGAACAGCTGTTCGGATCAAGATTATTTTTCCTAGCTGTCACTGATATGTTTACAAATGTTGTTTACAAATACCGCAACCTTTTTCAATCACGTTTTGAATGCAAATCCCAACCAAGTGAGATTAAAAACGTTTTTCTTACATAACGGATTTAATTAATCGAAAGTGCAATAATATAGTGTAATAGTGTAACCGTAAATGAAATATGCAAACCAACTTCTGTTCTTAATAAGAAGGTTTCAACTGACTACAATAAGATCCCTGTGCGTAGAACGGGCACACAGCTAGTTGGTACTACAATACTGGCGCCAAAAATCAACAGTAGATTGGTTTACAAAATACATGTTTTTATTTAGTGAATTTTTTAAGGGTTTGTAATACAATATGGGAAAAAATTGTGTAACATTGTAATAGAATATCAGTGTAACTATCAATTAATTAATATTTATCTATTTTGTTTATTTACAGACAGAAAAAAATAATCTCAGAGACATTGCTAGAAATAAGGTATGTAAATATTTTTTTTTTAATTGTGCTTTGCAAAAAATCTTTAAATTCACTTATGGAATTATCATAATTTTTACAAACATACTACATAGCATTCAAATATTTATGAACTAATCTTCAAGACTAAAATTTATTTATAGGCATTTTAACTGTATAGTAATATCTTGGAATGCACTATTTGACAGCAAACAGAATCAGCATATTGTGAAAAATTTATGTTAAGATTCATGAATTATGATTCACTGACCTGTTTCATAATAAATCATTTTAGTATAAACAAATTTTTGTATATTTTCTATCTAAAGATCACATATATGACATATTTTTAAAGATTATGGCTTTATCTATTGGATGGAGAATCGCCTGAAGAGTTTAAAAAATGACTCTACTATTTACATTATAAATAATATAGTTCTAGGTTTGAGTTTCGCTGTTTGTTAAGCTTTGTTTCCAGAAGAAATTTCATGAAGTTAAAGAAGACTTCATATTTTCCATTCCACCCAGGTCAGTGAGTCATAGTTTTACATTTAGACTTTTTCTTAATCTTAGGTTATACTGTTAATGTGTAATTAATATGCGTACAAAATAAAATTTTTGCTAAAATTTAATTTTAACCAGAGTTTTTATTGTTGTTGAAATTTTATATGGATGCTTGTAAAGTTACTTGACATGAAATGGTTTTGATTTTTCCATATGCATTTCCTTCTTAATAATTGAATATTTAATTTTAGTTTTTTGTGAAGTCTTAATGATATTTGTCTATGCCCTATCATTATTTATCAGTATAAATTGCTCAATCTTTGTAAACAAATTTATAAATGTACTATTTATAATTGTAAAACCCTGCTAAGGTAGGAATTGAGTCCAAGGGCATTCCTTACCAAAAATCTTAAGCAACAGGAAAGTAATTTAGTTTTGAGTTTGTTTCATGACAGACATTGTGTTACAGCCCCAATTATACTTCTTGATAGTCACTGTTTAAAATAGCACCAAAACAATAAGTTGTTCAAGTAAGTATACAAATTTGAGTAAAAAAAACAAGCTACTAGTTTGTAGTCCCAATTAATTAGTTTTTGGAATGTTTGGTTCATCTTTATACATTGTAAGTAACTTTTTTATATAGTATGATATATTTATATTCCATAATAAGAAGAATGTTTCAATTGAAATTTATTTTAACATTGTTACAGATTCCTACAAAATAATCATCTAACTGTGCCAATGAAGATAATGTGATATTATTATAAGAAAAAGTGCATAATTCTGTACTTAGTGATAGTAAATAAGAGTTTAGATTATATTTGAACTTAAATAGATGCTTTTGTTGTTTTATTCGGAATCAATTGATAGAAAATATATTTTCTTAACTCTTACATACACACTAAACAAGATTGTTCTTTATAGTCATATTATTAAAATAAATAAGTTGTTATTAAGAATTGTTAATTTCATTACCTTATCTGTGTAGTTAACTTTTCAAATTGGAAATATATTTTATTATTCATATATCAATGCGAAAAATTGAAAATGGTTTTGAAATTATTATTTAGTTAATAATCTTATCTTAACATTAGTAATGTTCATTGTATTTATTCTTAAGTTTGTCCCAATAAAAGTCATGAAATATCACCAAATCATGAATTTCCCCCGTACGGTTCTCACAAATTTGATAGTTTTTTAGGCATTCTAAATACAAACAAAATGACACCACCCACGTTTCTGTAAAAAATGACAGTTTGGAATTTATTGTACTTTGAATAAGAAAACAATCGCAAAAGAGCTGAATGAAGTTTTAATTATTAATGTAACAATTGGTACGGATATATAAAGGAAATGTAATAAGAAAATGTTAGTTTATGTCCTGAATTTGTAGTCTTTGTGGTTTCATGGCTGAGGGTATGAAAATATGAGAGCCAGTTTCTGATACTTATTTTCCGTATACAAACATATGTGATGCCAAACCTTTTCTCTGCACGGTCTTTTAGAGAACTGGAACATAGTTCAGTTTACGGAGAACAAAATATCTCACAAATTTTGCAGTCCCGACAAGAGGTACCATTCTTATGCTATGGAGAAATAACATAGGACCGACAAGAGGTCCCTTTTCTGAAATGTGATTTATACAACATGCTTCAATAATTCATTCTGGTATTTTTTTTTTCGTGATGGCATTATCAATGTTAATCTTGGTTTGTTTTCTACTCATCACATAAATAAAATTATACACAATTTACTAAAAAATGTGGAGGTATATTTCGATTTTACATCAAAACTCATCTTCAGCCTCTGGTAACAACATAAGTAAATAAACTATGATTTATAACGTTTGTTTATATTATAAATTAACATATGTTTGAATTGTTTTAAAATTAAGTTAGTAGGAAAAAATGTTGTTATATATGTATATATTATGTAGATGTCACAGTTAATTTGTTATTGTTTTCCAATTTTAATTTTGTTCTCAACCTCTTCTCGAATCAAAAGGTATAAACATGGGGCTGATTGTAGCACTAGGTTGGGGTATTCTTCTTTTATCAACCGCCATGCAAGCAGCTTCTTTAAGATTTCTTAAAGAACATGTCTTCTCTGAAGAACATAGAATACATTGGACTGAATCGACTATGATCTACCAGGAAGCAGACTGGAAACTAAGAAATCTTAAAGAAGCTGCTTGCATGCGGTTGATAAAAGAAGAATATCCCAACCTAGTGCTACAATCAGCCCCATGTTTGTACCTTTGATTCGAGAAGAGGTTGAGAACAAAATTAAAATTGGAAAAACAATAATAAATTAACTGTGACATCTACATAATATATACATATATAACAACATTTTTCCTACTAACTTAATTTTAAAATAATTCAAACATATGTTAATTTAAAAACAAACATTATAAATCATAGTTTATTTACTTGATATGTTGTTACCAAAGGCTGAAGATGAGTTTTGATGTAAACTCGAAATAAACCTCCACATATTTTAGTAAATTGTGTATAATTTTATTTATGTGATGAGTAGCCAACAAACCAAGATTAACATGCTTCGATAAAAGAATTATTTAAATTAAAGCTACCGTGAGTTAAGACAAAAATTGGCATTGCCTCCAAAGAGGACATTACAAGCTTTCTTTTGATACCAAAATCGTTTCTTAAATAAATCGTAGATGTATGGGACTTGCACCAAGTGATTTGGAATTTAATAAAGAATTCATATATATATATATATATATATATATATATATATAAAACTCATACCCGACAAGAGGTCTCTTTCCAATCCACATCACATATTATGAAATAAAGTTAAATACAATAATTATGAAACAACAGCTGGTCCCACATGTAATAAGCCATGTATAAAGACAGCTACTATCGTAATAGCTCTTACGCTTTGGGCACAACCCTATAGTTTTGTTCCCTTATTTTTAGGTACACATAAGAACAGTATTCATTTCTAAATTTAACTGATTCAATCATTTGTGTTATTTATATATATATATATATATATATATTTTATAATGGATTAGGTTATAACCTTTTTGTATAATAATTACAAAATATTTACTCATTTCAAAACTGCAGCTCAATATCCATACACTGTTCCGTGGATATTTAAGTTTTTATTTAACTGAAAATTTAGTGGAAACTGAAAACCTGATGGTAGTCATAACTAAATCATAGATTAATTTTGTTCAGATTAAAAAAAAAGAAAGCAGTGATGTATGACCATTGACGATTTTAGTTTAGGGATGTATGTATAACAGTTTACAGGTATGTACAATAGATGTTCTTTACCTGGTTTATGTTCTAAAGTATGACTTGCATCCAACATGTTGTACTTATGGCAATAGCATTATTTAAGAACTAACAATTGACGATTTCAGAATAAATTATTTAAAATGTTTCAGATGGCTAAAGAACACAACTTCAAGTCAAAGAATGAACGTTCAATTGGGCTGGGTACTCCAGGAGCAGGGAGGGTGAGTTTTGACATTTGATTTGGCAAATTAATTTTTTAATTCTTAATAGCTTTTATATTTTTAGTGTCACTGTCTTTGGTTGCAAATTATTTCATCTGCCTTTCAACTAATGTTAAATTGTGTGTTTCAGCCAAAAAGTCTCAAGAGAAAAACTAAAGACAGCGAGGACAGTGTAAGTTATTCTCATAACTTAATATGTAAACAAGATCATATATTAAATACATGTAGAGGATTAGATACATGTGTGTAAGCCTCAACTCTAGGATTCCTAAGGGACAAGAGTTAATGATAACTTAAAGACATATTCATTTGTGCATCCCAAAATTGAATCTGTCCCTTTTTAGCTTTTATGCTTATTATATAGCTTGTAAAATACATGATAGTTTTACAAGAGGGCAAATAAATGATACAGGTTTGTAAACAAAAATTAAAGTAAATCGGGTTTTCATAAGCGATGAAGATGAAGGCGGAGTCCGCTCTCCTCTTGTCTGCGGGAATTTAATGGTACTGTTTTACTAAAAGCAAAGCGGACCGCCATTGGAATCACTTCTCGGCACTCCGCTTTCCACGTTTCGCGCCTGGGAAAACCTGGTTTAACTTTTTTTAACCTGAATCATCTTTTTATTCTTTCAAATACATCTCCATTTCAAATTTGTCCTTTCTCCATATTCCTCTTCACCTCATCCATAACCTTCTTTCAGGTCTTCTTCCCTCTATCACCCGCCACTCTGTGAATAAATTCCAATCACTTCCTTACTAGCCTATTATTATTACTATATATTTTTGGTTGAGTTTTCAACCACGGGGCGAGCACTCGTATTTGGAATAAAATACATACCTTTGTGGCGTCCCCTTCTCAATTGATAATTGATCATTAATAATAATTATTGATATTCACAATACTCTTTAAAAATTCTACAGTTGGTATTCTGCCTCATTTTCCCCATACATTCCCTACTTTTGCTCCATACCGGCCTGCAATATGTCTTAAAATCCTTCAAAACTTAAGTAAAGTATTTCCTTGTTCCAAGGTTCAAGATTATTGGACCAATTGGTCATAAAGCAAGATATAAATGAATTATGTTATTTTATTTTAAATTTCCAGTGATGGATTAACTGTTATATTTCTACTTGGTTGCAGTTTGCCTCCTACTTTGATGGTGTTGACCACAATATTGTAGAGGAAGACGACTCGACTCCGTCTCCCGAGAGAACCACAGTGAGTGTCTCATGATATTTTACTAGTTAGGCTCAGCTAGTAGATGTTACTGACATCTTGGTAGATTGATCTATTTAATTTTTTACCCTTTAAAAGAGGAGGTTTCCTGTTACAAATAATTTTTCCTTGTGGAAATTTGCATGTTTTTTGTGTAATTTTTATCATCGCATACATTGTGGCGTAGCCTCTGAATCACTATGATTATTACAATAGTAGGTAATATTAATGAAGGCCTTGATGGATTTGTTTTCAATTTTACATGGATACCAAGCATGGCCAATCCTCTTTGACCTAAAGAGTGTGAAGATTTGTCTTACGAAATACGTAACACAAACCCATACAAATATTTTAAAACATTTCAAAAAGAGTGTGGCCATGATTATAGAATTGGACAACGCGTGCCTGTAGCCACCGGATTCTAAAAATCAAAATTAGTAATAAACATTACTGAGTGTGACTTGATTTTTCTTACTATTCCTTGCAATAATCAAAAAAAGATTAATTAGCCTATGTGATTTAGATGCAAAATCTTTGAAGGATACTTTAGGTAAATACAAAAATTATTAGGGAAGTTTCACAAAGTTCTCACTTAAATCTGCATCAACTACACAGGTTTATCACTGGAGTATTGTATTTTATAGCTCTCTAATCCCTTTTAAATCCTTATAAAAATGGGGAGCGAGCTGGTCTAGTGGTTAGAGCGCGGGACTCCGGTTCCAAGGGTCCCGGGTTGAAATCCTGCCAAATCACCAATGGATTTGATCTAAGTGATAATACCGCAACCCCTAGGTCTAGCCTGAAGTAATGTGAAAAACAATTCCGTGCTCGTGCCTAGCGTCCTAGGACAAAAAAAATCCCTTGTAAATAGCAGGCAGCCAATGCAATGGTTAAAATATTATTTCATTTTAAATCCACTTAATAACATTTTATGTAGTTTTGAATCTCTCGTACGAATGTCATGCTCAACTTTTATTATATTTACTCAATACAGATTTCAGAAGTGTGTTTGTAACTTGCAGATGGCTCTCTTCGAAGTAGATCCATTTGAGTTCATGACTACTCGGAGAGCTAGTGGCAACCGGACTTATAACCGCGGGGCTCGACACAGTCCCACCACTGACTCACCTAATGTAAGTGTTTATGGACACTTCTCATTATACACTATATACCTCCTACATAAATACAACATTCTTTCATTGTTTCCATTTTTATGGCAATCCTTTTCAATTACATTAAAATCTCTTTGGTTATTTCGTGTTTTGATTATTTTTGCATCTAAAATGTTGATGAAAAGTTCAACAGGGTTTTTAAATTGTTTGTATTGGTTTTCACACAATTGCAAGTTTAAGTTAAGAACAGTAGTGTTGTGAAAAAAATTGAACAAATCTTATGGTTAGTTGACGGTTTTGGAACAATAAACCTTGTTGTCAAAAACTCAAAAAGTAACTTGGAATTTTTTATTTCTTGAGGGAACTAGGTTTTTTTACAATAAACTAATTAAACTAGAATTTTTCTGGAAAAATACTTGCTCAAAGTCTTTTGTACTAATCATAGAGTACTGATCAAAAAAAGTATCTCAAGTCAGTTAGGGGCCTACATTTTTTTACAAAATTAGTTAATGTCTTAAATTAGATCTAGAACCCTATATTTTTATTTGGAACACTTTTTACCTCGTCTCCAGTATATACTGTATATGTTAGCAGATACTTCTTATTGATAAACTAAGGATGTTGTTGTACTAAGTGAAATCAATGGTTCTGTAAATAAAGGAATGTTATTTTATCAGCTTCACTCACAACTATTTGAAAACATGTATTGAAATGAAAGAATGTTGTAGGATAGTCAGAAAAAACACACTAAACAACAATTTTTTTGAGCATTGAGAAGTTTCCATAAATACAGAATCATTGAATTACACTTTCTGTGCAGCAAGTCTAATGTTCATATCACCCAGCTTTTCATATCTGAGCACGATGATGATTTACTAACTAACAGTTTTTAATATTGAATGTAACAAAATTTCTAGTTTCGCGAACTTACAAGGCATGTTTTTTTAAGTAAGTACCGTTTTAAAATAAAACAAAAACAAGTATACTTATTGTAATAATTATATTTTTATTTGGAACCCAGTATCTTAATCTACTTTTTGACATAGTTTCTTTTCCATCAATATTAGGGCATTTATCATATCGTTCCACGAGCTTTTGCATTCCTTTCTCAAAGAATTCTGCCGCCTGACTGGATAACCACTGTGTCACTGCCGTTTTGACCTCATCATCGTTGTCTAGGTGCTGACCACCAAGATGTTGACTCTGGCGTAACATAAGACACCCATGTTGCCTGTAGCAATTTTACCTTGACAATTTGAACAAATCATCTCGTTTCTCCTCGTAGCGCTCAAGAAAAGTCAGTGCACTGCCTAGACACACTTCAGTCAACATTTTCAGCACCCAGCGTGAGCACAATTTTCGGTACTCAATTTTTCAGTCACAATATCATAAAGAACACTTCTCAAAACTAAAGGAAACTCATCAGATAATTATGAGATCGTAAACCGTCTGTTCTCTTTCACTTTTTCATGGACTTTATGCACCAATTCATCAGTAATGACGGATGGCCGCCCAGTGCGTTGCACTTCATGAACCTTGATGTGGCCGTCTTTAAATGCCCTCACCCACTTGCCTAAAATTCCGTCACTCATAATGTTCTTGTCATACACTTCACTAATCCGTCGATGAATTTCGATGGCTTTCACAGCTTTAGCACTTAAAAATCGAATTACATCTCACACTTCACAGTCGGCGGCAGTCTCAATTGGTGGCACCATTTTGAACGCTCAAAACCGGATGTAAACACGGCTGATTGTTGCCAAATTTCTGGCACAGACTTGCCAATAGATGCACATACACTCTGTACAAATGTCCAAAATGGCAATAGCAGCGCTGGAACTGAGAAATTTAAAAACTGTACTTACTTTAAAAACATGCCTCTTATAACATATTTTTTTGTTATTTAACTTTAATTGCAGTAAGTTCCTGTAGACACTGAATGATGATATCTGATTTTTATTTAGCCACTCAGTGTGGTATTTTTAAGATAATTTACATTGTAACAAACGATATTTCCAGGGTCTAAGGGTAAATAGAGAAAACATGTTTAAAAAAGTTTGTTAGTTGTGAATTGTTTCCCATGGCTGATCTCTTGGTTGATTTCCCTGAAGAGAATGAAAGATTTTAAGTACTCTTAAAATGTATTGGAAAGCCTGTGATATTCATATTAAAAAAAAAAATAAACATTTAGTTAAGTCCCAAAAGAGATCAAGTTGAAATAGAGCATCAGTTTGTTCAAATCTGTGTATGAAATAATTACCCTAATTAGCCATGGTTTACCAAACAGTAATATACTTATGGCAACAATAAGTTGACATGATAAGTAGTCCATAAGTCAACATGGACCCTTTTTAAATAAATTTAACACTCTTCTCTCTCATCTGAACTTGTAAAGTTATTTGTATTTGGGAATTTACAATTTGTTTGTAATATAGTGAAATTACAAATATTTGGTTTTCAATTAATTGTAAACAAGTTTCTTCCTGTTGCAAAGCTTTTTTATGAAATCTTGTCTCATTGAAAGCTCATCTATGACCAGCTGGTATTGCTTGTGGTGTTGTTTGCCAGAACATTGACAGGTGGCATAGATGGTCCTCAGATGAGCAATATCCGAGGGTGTTTACCAGAGCACCCCCTGACTCGGGGTCGGAAGTCGTCAAACTGCAGTCTTTGGAGGCTTCAGAATCAGTGTTTCTGGTTGACAATGTAAGATCAGTTGATTGGACCATTTCATAATTCTTAGTTTAACAAACATGCATGAAGTTCTACATGTATTTTTGTGCCATTTACTTTAATCGTCAATTTGATTTCATTTTACATATCATGTTTTTTCCTTGCTTTTTCGTCTTTTGCATGAGTTGATTTAGAGCAAATGTGTTATTGGTGGATTTTATTTTTTACGTTTGTGTCAGTGATTAAATCTAAATCCTTTCAGTATCTATTCCAAGGACTATGCAACAGCTATCTACTAAATGAGTTATTTTTGCCAGGCAGATGGCTAAGGTAAGTTTTGAAGTTTCGGTTTAGTTATCATTCATTGGTGAAATTGCTTTTTACATTAATATTTACAACTTTACAAAAGGAAACCTCCTCTGAAACAATGGGTTTACATTTTTATATATTTTATTTTAAGTGAAAGGCTTGGTAAATAAATTTTTATCTAAAAAATATTGTGTTTCAATTGAGTTACAGAGTACAAATTATCTGTGGTATTTTATTTTTAGGGAGATAATGTCACTGACAGCCTTAAAAGTGATAAACTGGTAAGTTATATTTTTAATTGAATCATATTCCACTTAGGAACATTTTTGCAAAAAGTTTGACATTAAGTGAATTGAGCTGTAAATGCATCATCATTCAATCATAATTCTTAATCTTATGAATATTTTTTTCATTACATTCAGAAATTTAAAAACAATTCATAGTTAAATTAATAGCTCAAACAACTCAGTGTTTAAAAAAATATAAAATATTTAAAACCCATTATTTAATATTTGCAGAAAACAATGGCAAGAAAGAGGAGAATCATTCTAGATAACGCAAAGATTCTTCATCAGCTTACCAAGAAGCTCCGACCGTTTTGGCGGAGAGAGCTTGAAAGGTACAACTTGAGTCCTGACAATACGACTGTGGAGTTCACAGGCTCGATGGAGGAAGAGATGAATCAAGCTATTGAGCAAAAGCTTTTGTCAGGCCCCCCTAGTGATGAGACAATGGAGGAGTTGACCAAGGAACTGTTCTCGATGATTGACAAGAGAAAGAGAGAAAATAGATCAATAGGAAATATTATACATGGAACAAAACCTGTAAGAGATCCTTTGATAAAAGGAGTGTTTGAAGTACATCACATTGATCAACTTGGTAAGTACCACTTGCAGTATTGGCCGCAGGATGATCCTGAGGATATGAGGACTCTGAATGGCACTATCAGCATGACAGACCTAAAGATAGACTTGACTCATAAACATGCGAGTAACAAAATACTCAAGAAAATACTGACAATAAAACCACATTATTTGTCACACTCTAAGGCGGATGAGATTTTAAACGTGATTTTCCCTAGAACTTCAGGCGGTGAAAAGCTTGAAAGTTATAGAGGAGAATCTGCTTCGATAGCAAAAGTTAAAACTATACCAATCCTAGAAGAAACAACCATACCGGTATCGAGGGGTGAAATGAAACCGATCATAAAAGAGAAAAGTGTACCAATGCAAAGAGAACCAATTTTGAAAGAAGAATCCCTACCACTTCCTAGAAGTGAGACTAAGCCGATTTGGAAAGAACAAACTTCAATTACTTCAAAAGATGTTGAAAAATCTCTTCTTAAAGATAAATCTATTTCTCTAAGTGAAACAAGCCACATAGAAAATAAAGGATTTGTAAAATCATCCACAGAGCTGTTAACAAAACTTAGAGAAACAATCTCAGAAAGCAGAAATATTTCATCGATCCTCATGAATGAAATTGAATCCATGACAAATAAAAAAACAGAAGAGAGTTCGGGGAAACATGAAGAGAAAGTTCACCAAGGTAGTTGGAAATTACATCAGAGGATAAAAGGTTCCAAACCATCTCGCCCGTACCATCCGACATTACCCCCTTTTGTTAGGAGATGGCCAACATTTAGATCAAGACCAGAAGCTTCTGTTACTGAATCACCATCTGTAACTGAATCACCGTCTGTAACAGTCTTACCGGAAACTACTTTTGCTACATTCCTTACTATGAGACCTAAATACAGTGGGCCAAGACTGAAACAGCCATTTTTCTTCAGTGACTTCCAACGGATTGAGACTGTTTATCCTTCTACAGCCGTACCAGTAACAAGACAAGAGACTACAGTTGGCAAACTTGGGTGGAAAGAAATGTACGATTTGTTGGGTGTAGGAGTTTCCAGAGAAGATTTGCCAAAAATTACTCCAGAGAGGCTGGATAAGGTCTGGGAATCAGTGGAGAATATGTTTACTGAGAAACCTAAAAAGTTGCCAAAAATTGATGATGAAGATAAAAAGTTTTTTAATCCGATAACTACGGAGGAAACTGTACTATCGGTAGAGAAGGTTGAAACTACCACAGTTCCCTGGTTTTTACGGATGACTCGAAGACAGATTACTACAACAACACCGCTTCCTTCCACAACAAAACGTAGCCATTTACATGTTATCAAACATCATGTCAAGAGGGGTTTTACAACGTTGATGAACTTCTTGGGATTCGGAGATATTGAAAGTGAAGAAGTTAAAGGAGAAAATATGGAATAGGAACATTGTATCCATGTAAGTATTTCACCTATTATTTTAAAACAATTAAATGATAAATAAAATATAACAAAAGCAATAGACAAATTGTTTGGTGACCATTTTAAACCATTTTTGTATACAACACTATAGTTAAAGATAAACAAACTAGTTATGATCCAACTAATATTCAGACACTTTATTTTTCTATATGCAGCTTTATTGTCGAAGCATATTCAGGAAAAATATAGGGAATCTCTGTATGTATCAATAGACTGTAATACTTTGTCTTAAGGGTTTTTTTTAACCTTAACATTATTAGTGCGGTCGACATGTTATAACATTAAAAGTCAAATTTATTACAATGTTAAGCAATAACGGGAATTCCCGTCATCAGCACTCAACGTGTTAAAAATTTTCTGTTATTAACATGTACAGTTCTGTTACTGTCTGATGTAAAATGTTTTTGTTTCTCTTTGCAGGGACTTGTTGGGATCTTCAAATGGCTTCACATTATTGCTGTATCATGTCTGCTGTTAAATTTGTTGTCATTATTTAAGCTCTACTCTACTTTATTTGTTAATATTTAATATTGAATTTGTTGTTGATTGTTATATTAGTGTTAAAATATAAATTATTGTTTTGTATCCCATTCTATTATTGTCTATCTGTGGTTTGATATTTATTAGTTATTGTCAGATATACATTTGAAGAAAAAACTGTTGGTAAGTAATTTTATATTGACTTTTTTAAGGGAATGAATTGATTGCTTGAACATTTGTTTGTGTGTATTCTCTTTGATTTATACAACTGTTTGACTATTTGACTTCATTATTCAATAGTCAATGGTATTACTTGAGGCTGGATTTATAAGTAAGCAAGGAAAGACTAATGCAATTGGCTAATTATCTCTTAATACGTTCGCTACCAAGCGTCGCACATATCCGTGACCATTGCCACGGACCGAGGTATAGAATTTAATCTTACAAATATACTGGCTGTCACTTGGTTAACAGTACACGCAGACCATGGGCAAAAACCTGTTAAGCAGTGATAATTTACTTTGTAATACTCTGCAATTTTGTTTGTAAATAATATATTCTTGTTTTTTTTTATATGTTGATACCCTTTTCTAATGTCGCATATTTGTGATACCCGGTCTATAGCGAAGACAATAGTGAAAATTATTATATTTTTATTGAAATAGCCCAAACTCCACATATATGCAACAGTTCATTTTTGTTTGTTTTTAGGTGAAAGAAAGTAAAAAAAAACAGATTTTTCAAGAACAGTTTATAATTGAACAAAAATAAAAGCTACGTGGGATAATGCAGCATACATACATACAGTGATGCAGCAAAGTAAAGAACAGTTTTTCCAACTATCATATGACGTAACAACCATCATATCCACATACCAAGTGACGCAGTTGTGCGACAGACATCCCTGTAGACCACTGCAGAGAATTCAGTGCCTTCAAATAGACGTTAAACGTTATAAAGATATAATCGTTTAGATAACATTAGAACACCGACGCAAATATGCGACGTCAGTCTATTTTAATGTGACTTGCCGTCGCATATATGCGACAGCAGTCTATGGGTAGAAACCAGCCGTCACATATGTGCACCGCTGGACCAAATAAATTAAAAATGTTGTACTATTGCAGTAGCGAACGTGTTAAGATCTATGTTTCATTATGACAGACTGTTCAATATTCTATTCAATTCAGGTTATCACACACAGATGGCAATAGTTATTTGTGTAACTAGTGTGCAACTTGGCACTTTGCTGCACATGAGAGAAATGTTTACGCACGAGCCGCAGGCAAGTGTCGAAAGTTTCTCGTGTTACACATTATATATTTTTCTACAGTTACTATAAAGCAGAAATAATTAGTCTTTCAAACAATATTATACAACACGTTTTTAGGTTAGGTTAAATCCAAGTGTTTAACGAAATGGGAAACACTGCATCAGCTTAGTATTTTTGTGTTGTTTGGTTGTGGAAATACTGGAGTGTGGAAAAACAATTAGTGCGGCAAAAGTAAGTAAATGCAGCAACTAGCTACTTCCGTGCTATAACTACAACAAAGCCCGCTTTGTCAGATAACTGTAGGAAAAATATTTACATTTGTGAAATCTAACTTATTCAATTTGTGCTTATCATAGCCATGATTTATCATGTAAATGTTTGTCTTAAATAACAATGTTTGGATTGAACTAATACCAAAATACTTAACAATTATAAATTACGACTAAATGCTGAATGTGTAAAAACAAAAATGCTCTATGCACAACTATTTTCGAACATTTTCAGGTTTCAAAGTCAGACTGCCGAAATATACCCAATTGTCCTTCCTGAAACAACTCTTTTTGTTACTTATGATGATAAATCATTTTCAAAGGATAAACTATGTTTTATTTCAATTATTGATAAATCTAGATATACCGTACAAATGTTACTAAA